ATCTGATTATTGAGTGCATGTAAGCACATTCAGTATCAGCAGGTATTTATTTAAAAAAACAGTGTTGGAAAGATATTTATGTTTGACTAATAATTCAAACCTAGATTAGATGTATTTATAGTATTCAGGAAGTGCAGAAGATTGGTCCTGTACGATTAGATTTAGTGCAGTACAGTATGCGAAACATTAAAATCACTGGACCCAATTTTTTGATGTTTGTTGATGGCAGCTTTTAAATGTGGAACAACCAGTGAATTGTGACTTGGTGTTGGCAGCAGTTTACTAGGTGGTATAGATAAATCGTGATGTTTTCCAAATATATCAGTGCATCAGATATTTAAAGCTGTTATAATAAAGGTTCTGTTCTGGTACATTTTTCGTTCATCGAGGTACAAACAGTGTAAATGTTCCCTCAAAGGTACAACAGTGGTTTTAAGGTCTGATGGTGAACCTTAAATAAGTTTTTCCAGGTGAAAAGTTCGTATTTGTACCTTTTCATAACCGAATGTTTTAAACAGAACAGTAAAATAAAAGCCTGGAGACGAGACGGGGTGTGTGGAGTCAGTACAGCTTAGAACATATCATTTCAGTGGATTATGGTTCAGTTATGTTCCCTGACTGAAGGTACTGAGATGGACCCTTGAGGGAACCACCCCAGTTACAAGAGGAGAACTGCCCCAGTGACAGTTTAGTATCTTTTGTAAGCAAGATGGTTTTTTGTTATAATTGAACTAAGTAGCATTACTAAGAGAAGAGAATAAAACCAGGCTAAAACATGGTGAGCTTGTGCTGCTGTAAGTCGGCCTGCAAAGCCTGAAATCATCATTTAAAGTCAGAGGCGTCGTGTCAGGAGTTTTTCACACCACGTCGTTCGTCTTTACGTATTAGCGTTGCACACAGAGCCTCAAAAAGAAGGTCCGGCTCGATGTTTAGGTCTCAAATGATCTCAAAATCAACATTATATTGATGAAGATGTGATGACAATAGTAGATAATTCACTCACATCCTCAGAGACGCGTCTTTCACCAAGTTTAGACTGAGTTCTCTTTGAATTCTCTTTCAATCTTCAGATTCATCCACTCGGGGAAGGGGGCCGAAGTACCACCCACATTACGAAACAGTCATCTGCATGTTATATGCAATTACACATTTCCACCACAGAGGTCACCAAATCCCCAAAACTTACATAGAGCAGTTTTTACTAATTAATTTAATACAATTAGTGAACTCCTGCTTCTTGGGTGCTGCTACTCTGTACTAAACAAATGTCTTTTTGAAATATTGCACTCAGACTTAAATTTGATATTTTTTTCACCTGTACGAACACACCCTGCATAAAAATGCTCTTAAAAATAAAGGCTCCTAAATGAGCTTCAGTTTGGACACACAGTTCTAGGGAAACAAAATGCATTTGCTGTAGAACCTTCACTTTATGCGGAGGTTCTTTAAACTTTAAAATGATTTAAACGTTTGCACAGCTCATTTATAAAACTGTTAATTTAAAGAAGCATCCATTGAAGAGTTCTTTAGTGAACCAAAACTGGTTCTCCTGTAGCATTGCTCAGCAGAACCCTTTTTGGCACCTTTATTTTTAACTAAGAAAAATCGATTTGGCCCAGAAATGGCTGTAGAAAAGTGATTAGCACTGGCTTAAGGGGCTTAATGCTTCAAACACAGATGTTATTAGAGTAAAAGAGGCCACCTCAGCACTGAATTAGGCAAAAAGACTGAAATAAAGATGAGTTCACGTTACAGATTTTGTGGTAAATACGAAGACCAGTAGTCAGTGGCCGTTTTTAAATGCTCTGAATATTTAATTTGCTTGTATGGTATGAATAATTTGTGGTTTATGCTTATTTAATGTACAGTACTGTGCATAAGTCTGAGGCACCCAAGCACATTATTTGAAACCATTTGTCTTTGCAGTTGGTCCGTTTTTGCCATATCATTAAAATATAAATGATTAAAATGAATGCAAATACTGATAAATGCACCAAATTATAGCAGGAATTTCTTATTTTGAAAAAACTGGTTGATATTTTATAAGCTAGTTTTGTTAAATTTCATCACCAGCACACCGGAATGTAGAAATAATACTGAAACAATACAATTGCATTAATATATTATTAATATTAGTTTAATTTATTCTGATTTTAGTGTTTTTCTCAGCAAATAAACATTCACTGCGTGGAAAAAATAGATTTTTGTATTCTCAGGTGGCTCAAACTTTTGTACAAATAAATATGATAAACAAAATGTCTTTATAAATCTGACTGTGGCCTTTGACCCCACCACTGGTGAACGAGCCTCCAGCGGCCCCAGAGCGCTCTTTTTTTCCCGCAGCCGGGCTGTAGCGGCTCTCCGCCAGCACAGGCAGCCGTCCCTCTTCACACGACCTCCAGCCTCATCCAGAGCTGCGGAGAGGTGTATTTTTAGAGCTGAAACTCAAACACTAGATAACACTTCCTGTGCGGAGACAGTCTCTGGTTTCATATCCCTCAAATCCCACCCTCTCCAGTAAATTGTCTCAATTGAAGGACCCAGTTCGCCTTGCATACAGCCGTATGCAAACACTCCCGGTCAGATTACACATTTTGTTGATTTCCAAAGTAAAAATAAGTTAAGACAACCTCTGCATGGAACTGTGGCATTTTTTGACTAATTTAAGTGCACAGTTTCTGTTAATTTACTGAGTTTAACATACTGGAAAAATATAAAATGTGCCATAACTTTTTTTTTTTCCCCAGCAGATAAAGTGATTGTTCTAACTGTGTTCTCTGTAGAGGATGTTAATATGTACATAAACGTTGTATTTACAGGGTTGATGCCGTTAATGTGTGATAAAGATTTTGACACAATTGTATATTTTACAGGTCATTTCTATAAATGTTTGACTTTAATAATATACACAAGGAGGAGACTGTGGCAAAAATAAAAGTATATTAAAAATGTAAACTTTATTTTTGGACATTTAATTGTTACTTTGTCATGTTATGTCAATATTTTATTTATGCAGTTCATCACAAATGTGTATGTGGGTAATGATGGGCTGGTTCGGGTCAGTTGTAGACAAAATATTTTGAGTTTTGGGTTTGGACCAAAATTACAGGCCTGATTAAAGCTGTACTACCTGTCGCTGTGCTGTTTATACAGTTACTAAGGCTGCGTTCACATTACCAGGTTGAAGTGGCACAAATCTGATTTTTTGCCCTAATGTGACTCAGATCTGATGTTTTTTTAGGGCTGTGTGGACACAAATCTGATCTTTTCAAATCTGACCTGGGCCACTTCCATATGTGGTCCTAGATCGGATACGTATCCGATTTGTGGCCATGTGACCTTAATGTGACGCTCAGATCGGAATTCATGTGCTTTTTTCCACTGCGCTGTCATTCAGCGTTACCATGGCAGCAGCGCCGAACAGAAGTTAAAGCCTGTAAACGGTGGAAAAGCAGCTCATCTCACCTTTTTCTCCTTCGTCTCGCTCTAATAATGAAGCTGAGAGCTGATCAGAGTTAATGATCTTCTCAGCGAAGCTCGTTCTGCTCGTTAGTTTGTGCTGATGATGAACGTGATTCATTCACGTGACGTTACTGAGTAGGATGAGCTCATGAGGGTCATTTCAGGACGCCGGTTCGTCACATTAATGACAGATGTGAATCACTTACCTAAACGAGTGTGAACCATCGTGTCAGAGAGATCGGATTTGAGCAAAAAATCAGATTTGAGCAATGAGGCTTTAATGTGAACCTAGCCTAAATTGCTGCTGTTGATGTCGTCATCATTGTCAGGTTCACTTTATTTGACAATGTTTGATTCAGGCTGTTGTTCAGTGTTTTATAAGTACTAATACATATTATAGAAAGCAAATCATGATGCAGTTTATAATGATAACAGTGACATAAGCCACATTTAACATGCAGCCTAATAATCTGTTAATAATCCGACTGATAGCTCAATTGAAATAGAATACGTTCATGTAAACACCTCAGCCATTCGCAATACAGTTTCTATCCGATTGAGTGAGGTGGGTAATCCTGTAAATAATCCGCTAAATAGAACAATAATATCCATGTAAACGCCTGTATCCAATCACATTCCCAATCGGAGAGTTTAAGTACGTTCTGATCATGTGCGTCGCGTCATAGTGAAAGTTTATAACGTTGCATGTAAACACAGCCAGTGTCATGTTGCTTCTGAAGGCCGTATAGCATTATTAATTACAGTGTACAGGTGTGAGAAAGAGGGATGCATCATATTGGCCAATTGTTCCGCCACCAATGGCTTAAGACACTTTAAGAGCTCAGCTCTGCACCTGAAGCAGCTCCTGGAGTAAGAACTCTGTGGAAACACATGGTTTTTAGTGAAGTATTTTAATATAGAGTCACTCCGGACTTTTGGCTGGGGTTTTGATTTACAGCTGGCACTTAAAGCCTGCAGGAGCTTTTTGTGAATGAGTAGCAATTACTGCATCCTGCTGCTGTGTCACCTTTGCTATTGAAATCATTCCTCACTGTCATGTTGGAATAAAAGTTTGTGTTGGGCACGTAGCTCTTACGGTGTCATTTCAGAGAGTGATTTGTTTCTCCTCCTCCTTGCAGACGTTCTCCAGAGTGCTGAATGTTTTCTTGTGAACACAGACCGGCGGCGCGCGACTCGAGGCTCGAGGAATGTCTGACGCAGTTCTGCAGAATCACCTGGAGGGAGCGATGAGGACGCAGCCCGCCGCCAGGCCGCGTCTCGGATCCCGTAGCTAGGATCGTAACTTGGAGAAGGGGTGACATGTTTGGAAACATGCTGCTTTGAATTTCAAGAAGAATGCGAAACCTGCGAAAGCCGCCACTTTAAACTGGATGTTTGTTTTCGGAAGCCTGCGGTTACCAACACGTTGGTGATAAAAGCCATTGTTGTAGATACCGCCACACACGTTTGGCCATAATCTGAGGAAACCGCTCCTCTTCTTGCTCCGTGCTTTCCTCTCCTCCATCCCTCCTCCCGTACCCCTATCGCACTTTGTTTTGGTGGCTCTGTGTTTTTTATGGCAGCGGAGTAACCGTGGAGAGGCCGGGGTATCACAAGCTTATGGATTTTGATAAGAGAGGTGGAGGAGGGGGGAAAGGGGAGGTGGAGGAAGGGAAGAGAATGTCCAAGACTGGAAGTAGGACAGGTCATGGGGGCCGCAGCTCCACCACCAATTCGGGAGTTCTCATGGTCGGCCCCAACTTCCGAGTGGGGAAGAAGATCGGCTGTGGGAATTTCGGCGAGCTTCGGCTCGGCAAGAACCTTTATACCAACGAATACGTGGCCATAAAACTGGTGAGTGTTTGAGACGCACTGTTTTGTTTTGTAGCTGCATGTTGATGTATTATTGTGGTGCTCAACTCATTTCCCACCACTTTGCACAGTTTTACCTGTTCTCTGCCTCAGCACACCTGATCCAGGTCATTACGGGTTTCATATGTCTGATGAGCTGGATCTGAGCCCTGTCTCACAAAACGTGTTCAACTGAAGTCTTGGGTTCACTACACGATTTTTAAAGTCTGAACAGATTATAAAAAGACTGGGCATCTCACACTGTCAGACTGGTTTTTGCAGATTTTGGGTGACTGAAATATTGGGAATCACACACTAAGCGATTAGAGATCACACACTAACTTTTAATCTGTTGCTGAACCAAACGGAGCTCACTGAGCTCGCACAAACTCGTGCAAACTCTCGCGTTCTCCTGTTACTAGGAGACGCAAATAAACAAACATGGTGCGGCTTGCTGCTGCTGTTTTCTCTGCCGTTTGTGCTGACACAGTAAAAAAAGCAGCAGGTAAACAGTGAGGCTCGTGGATTTAAAATGTGATCGCTGAAGTATTTTTAGAGTTTTAAATGTACATAAACTCGATTGTGCCTTAAACTCAGCTCATTAAAAAGCTTCGCTCCACATGTGGGAGGCTTTTCGCCATTTTTCTTTGTTTACTTGCTGTATTTTACTTCTTTCATGCTCTCAGTTTTTATTTGCTGTTGCAGGAATCCGTTCAGATTGAGTCGTTGACCAGTTTACACTAGATTACGCTCAAGAGTTGGGTCGGAAAAATCAGACGTGTTTGATAAACTCTGATTGGTCTGAAACACAATCGGGAGGCCTAAAATCTGAGTCTGCGCTCCTCAGACACGACTCGACTCTCTCCAACTGTCGACTCTAACTGACCCAAAAATCTGCAGACTAGAGCCGACCAACTTAGACTCAGCCAGACTGAGAATCAGGGCTAAAATCAGAGTAAAAGTCGTGTAACCCCATCTTAAATGAGGCTTTCAGCTTCGCAAAAACAGCCACGGTTAACTCTTTTTACAACGGTGGTGAACGATTTTCTCTGTCAACTAGGGATGGGTCAGAATTTTCAAATAGAAGTATAAAAAATTGAATAGTGAATTAGATGTGCGAATTAGCTTCACTGTGATTATTATACATTCTCAGCTCAGAACCGTGAACTCTTGAAACTCAATACTCCACCAGAGGGCAGTGAAGAACCTGCGTCTTATTTTTTTGACATATAAATAACTGCGATAAACAATTTAATTGTATGTTTTTGTTTTTTTTTTATTATTCATTTATAGTTTTTTATAGTTCTAGTTACAGTTTAGACTCCACGTTTTTGTTGATAGTGGACATTTCATGTGAAGGCACTTCTTAGTTGACCATATAACTTAAAGCGAATACCACAGTGAAACTAGCCTTACATTTTTCTTGTATTTTATTTTGTGGGTTTATGTATAAAAAATAGTCTTAATTAATTTTAAACAGGCCTTTTTACAACCTCTCTTAAGTCTAAAGACTTATTAGACCCTTATAAGACCCTATTCTGATGGGATTAGCTTTACGTGGGGAGGTGGGGTAATGTATAATTACTTTTTACCGATGTTTCTAAGTGATTTTAGTCCCGTCCGAATGCCTCATATCAGTCAATTTTATGGACTGCGCTCTCCCGCTTCGGTACAGATTCTAGCACCTTTCACCTTCCATGAAACTTCAGAGCTGTAACTTCAAGTTATATTAATCAAATGAAAAATTAATAAATTAATTAAATTAAAAATGCTGTCATATTCCGTCAGAAAGGAGTTTCTTAAGTACGGAGGCCCTTGGAGAAGCATTTACTTGAGTTCTCTGTGGCCAAAATCAAGTCGATATGTAACGTTACTGTCCTACCTCACATGCACAACTCAAAAAAAAGTTTGATTTTATACGGTGACGTTGACTTTTGGCTGCGAATTCCCCAGCTAACGGTGATGCTAATGCTCACTGCATTGACTTAAGACAGAAAGATAAATGCTTAGATTAAACAAAATAATGGTTAAATTAAACGTTTTCTATTCTTTTCTGGAGTAAAGATTCCTTATTTCATAACAGACGTTCGGTGGTAAACTGGCTTCATTTCACCTCCCCATGGGAAACTAATCCTGTTACTGTTACAGTGGTTTTAAGACTGACATATGTAAATGAGCTCTGTTCTGATTGGCTGTCCTCATTCAAAAAGCAGTTGGGGCGGAAGCACTCTTTATAACCTCAATGTAAATGAGTGGGACTATACTGCTGTAGGCTGAACATGTGGAGATGTTGTTGGAACAAAACCTCAGATGTCCATTTTTGATGGTTTTCAGTTTTTGACATAATTTGAAAATACCTATGGCTCTTCACATTGTATGTAAATGTCATGATGAATGGACCAAAAGAAACGACCCAAAATTACTTGGGAAAAAAGTCTGGTTCCATTGACTTACATTAAAAGTGAAGTGTGTTTTTTCCTTCTCCTATAAAGTTACCATTTTGGAGATACGAGGTTTTGTTCTGACAACAGCGATATATAAATATGCTGGATTTTGTGACATCACAGACAATTAATTAAAGGTGTGCTTAGTTTTTTTTTTTTATGTAGACTGGGGAGTGAACAGTATGTTTTGAAGCTTTAACAGTGTTTGCATACTACATCAAAGCAACAAAAAAAAAAAAAGCAAGGGAAGTATTTCATAATATGGGCCCTTTAAGTTATTCTCCCGAAGTACTACTTGGTCATGCAGTTGAAGTATTTCCTGTACAGAATAAACACACTTTACGCTCTGTGATGTTTTTCCTCCATACATGACCGACTGCGCCAGTCTCGCTTAAATATGTTCCTCGTTTACTCATGAAATTGCTAAACTAAAGTCAAACACTGAGGTTTATAGAAGTAATCCAGACCTCTGGTACAGTAAAACGGGCTTTTTATTCAGTACTAATTTAGCGTTTTATTCTTACCAATTAAAATGTACTTATGTTTGTGAGAATATTTTGTTTAAGAGGGTAAAAGGTATCGAATGAAGTTTCATTTATGGCAAGCAGTTTAACAGATCATACACAGATTGTACACAGGATTTCTCTTTTGCTCTTATTTACAGCATCGACTCAGAGATTAGACAGCCTAGGCTACGTTCACATTACCAGGCTGAAGTGGCACAAATCCGATTTTTTTTGCCCTAATGTGACTCAGATCTGATGTTTTCAGGGCTGTGTGAACACGCAAATCTGATCTTTTCAAATCCGACCTAGGCTACGTTCACATTACAAGTCTCATTGCTCAAATCTGATCTCTCTGACATGATGGTTCACACTCGTTTAGGTAAGTGACTCAAATCTGTCATTAACGTGAACCGGCGTCCTGAAATGACCCTGATGAGCTCATCCTACTCAGTAACGTCACGTTAATGAATCACGTTCATCATCAGCACAAACTAACGAGCAGAACGAGCTTCGCTGAGAAGATCATTAACTCTGATCAGCTCTCAGCTTCATTATTAGAGCGAGACGAAGGAGAAAAAGGTGAGATGAGCTGCTTTTCCACCGTTTACAGGCTTTAACTTCTGTTCGGCGCTGCTGCCATGGTAACGCTGAATGATGGGGCAGTGGAAAAAAGCACATGAATTAATCCGAGCGTCACATTACGGTCACATGGCCAAGAATCGGATACGTATCCGATCTAGGACCACATATGAAAGTGGCTCAGGTCGGGTTTGAAAAGATCAGATTTGTGTGTCCACACAGAGTCGCAAAAAATCAGATTTGTGCCACTTCAGCCTGGTAATGTGAACGTAGCCTTAAGCCACTTTCATATGTATCCGATTCGTGACCATATGTGAATGCTCGGATCGGAATTCATGTCAGTTTAATCAGGTTTAAGCAATGAGGCCTGTGATGTGAACATAGTCTTAGATAAACCAATCCATATTTTTAATTCCTGTTTCTAGGCAAGTCAATATACAAACGAGAGATGGCAGATTTATCTAATCCTCAGTATTCTGCGTTTTTGTGTGGAAAATTACATGGTTTAAATAAAGGAATTATAGTTCTAGAATAACACTCGTACATGCCAAAAGAATGAAATCCAACCCCTCCAGTATCAGTATTGGATTCAGCCCTGACTGATTGTCAGACAGATGCCGTCTTGAGTTCATGCAGACATTCTGGTTGTGATATTGGATCCTTCATTCTTAAACAGAGTCACTGAATGCATGTTTTATTGTATCCCCCCACATAATGAAGCTGATTTAATGTCTTACTGGAGATCCTTTTAGTGGAGGGTAATGCACTCTTCAGAGCTCATGCCTGAGACGGGCTTGTTGTTTAAGAGCATAAAGTTGCTTTGCTTCTCACTTGGAACATCCTGTGATCTTTGTGGGTGGCTGTATTTATTTATCTCTCTGTGTTGGAGCGTGTGTTTGTTTGTTTTTTTCCGTTCTGCTCTGTGTTCCTCTGCTCTTCCACTTGGCAGGATCATAGAGCTGCTGCTGGTGTCAATGATGACTCAGCCCATAAGGATCCTGTACAGTGTACTAGTGTAGAGATTCACAGAATTCGCAAATTGGGTTTTACTTTACGGTGATTTATTGATTCCATCCAGCAAAAATAATGAGTCTTGTCATTTATTTTATAAGTGTTTTACATGAACTTAGAGCCTGCGCCCAGGTTTAAAGCGAGTTCCATGATTTTCAAGCATTTTCTGCCTAATTCAGTCTTTAAGATGCAAACAGAATCATTTAGAGTGGCTTAATGTAAAATGGTTCATAGTAGTTTCCTCCTTTTAGAAGCTCTAAATGCTCTGAATCACCACCGCTGTGAACAATTATGACTCTAAGTTTCTCTAGAGCAGAGCGTTTCACACCAAACCACTCTGAATGACTCTGTTTACATCTTAACCATTTAATTATGCAGAAATCTTGGAAAAACCGTGGTTGTATTCTCTTCTTCTTGTTTTTTTTTTTTCTCTTTCTTTTCTTTCTTATTGAGTTTGTGTTTCCAAGTACTGGCAGAGTATGACGCATTTGAATGTCAGTCTGGACTACCAGATGATATGTATGCGCACTTCTTGGTCACTTTATCAGAAACCCTTGGCTCCACCTTGCTGGATGGTAACTCATCTGTTGAAGCACAGTTTGTTAGCCATCCTCTAGCTCAGGGGTCGGCAACCCAAACGTTAAGAAGAGCCATTTTGTCAAGGTTCAACAAAAATCGAACCACCTTGGGAGCCAAAACATGAAATGCCCATTTAATTAAAGTAACGTTTCACCATCTTGCCTGTAAATGTGTCTCAGTGTGTGCCGATGTTCTAGTATAGACTAAAAATATAAACGAAAGCGCAGACTTACTTTTCTCTGCTTTAAGCTTTAGCTCAGCTATAGCTGCTTTTCTCGCATCTCTGGCAGGAAACTTTTCCACAAAGTTGAACAGTTTCTTGTAAAATATCTCTTGACTTTTTACGAGGCTGAAGTCGCTTCTCATTCACCAGCTTCTTGTTTGAATTTTCCCGTTCCACCTTAAATGTAGCTAAGTATGTAGCGAACTGTTGCACCATTTAAGGTGGAACGGGAAAATTCAAACAAGAATTATAAACGTAAATAAGTCAGTTTGTCTCCAAATTGTCGATGTTCATCTTAAATCTCTGTCTTTGCCGTTTTGTTAGCTACTAGCTAGGCGAGACTGTTGCTATGGTGACCAGCAGTCTGCGCTGATCTTTAGGGTTAAAGGGTGAATTAGCAGTTCTACATTAACTCCAGAGTTTAAGACCATTTATTGTTAAACTGTGTTGAACGATCAGCAGAGCTTTATTTTACTGTAAAGGAGGATTATTTTATTTTTACCTACAAATCTGATTCTGCTGTGGAGCCGCAACAGGGCAGTAAAAGAGCCGCATGTTGCCGACCCCTGGGCTAGCCCTTCATCGATGGTAAGTGTTCCGTTGTTCTCATTGCTAACATTGCAAACATCTGGTCAACTGTGGTCTTACAGTGACAAATACTGCAAATAAAAAATTCACCGCTGCATATTTTCATCTTCTTTAAGGACTGTAGTGAAAATTCAGACCTCCAGTGTTTTGCAATCACATCATAGTTAAATAATCTATTATTTCAACTTAACTGCTGTGTCGTCGCGCCGAGTGTTGGGTAAATGGAGGGTGGAAGATCTGAAGTAGCTGAGCCTTTAGAGCTGTGATTTTAAGAACATCTTTTATACGTTGTGTTTTTCCCTCCAATCCCAGGAGCCGATCAAATCCAGAGCACCGCAGCTCCATCTCGAGTACAGGTTCTACAAGCAGTTGGGGAATTCAGGTGAGTTATTATTATTGTGCTTATGTAATATTGGACTTTATTGCTTTTCTTTGTTCCATTCTTTCTCGTGATAAGGCTACACATTATGCGCTTGCAGCATTGCCTGGGGAATTGCCCGGGTTGATGTAGCGTAAATACTTCTGACCCTTTTCCTGCTGTACTGATACACATCCTCTCAGCAGCGTTCAGTTGGAGCGTAGCATGGCGACTCTTGTGCGTCGTTTGCTGTACTCTTCCCACACGTGTTTTGATAAGACTACTTGAGATTAGGCCTCTCTCATCTAGCCGAGGCTGACGGAAATGTGTGGTGGTGTTTCTTTGAGCAGCCGAAAATGAAAGTCAGCCGTCAGATTAACTGACTTCTCCAACTGATTAAGGACAAGTATGAGCAAAAACCTGCACACGTTCGTGACCTTCTTGTTTTTTAGGGCTCAGTGTTGGCTTTTATAAGTGGTTCTCAGACTTGGCAGCCTAGCGGCAGGTTTTGCTGGCCGAAAATGACCATATGATTAAGATAATTAAGATTTTGTGTGTATGTGTATGTGTCACTGATTACTGTTAATCTAGGGTGTTGGTTAATGTGTTGCATGCAAACACAGTGTTATAAGGCAATATAATTTTACAACAGATTTTACTGTCAGTTTGTTGTTTTAAAAGGGGGATTGCATAGATTGCTTAGTTTTTTTTGTAAACGTATTTATTCAAGTTTACAAGTTTTGCAATTAACCAATTACAATTAACACTGGCCAATAAACACAGAAGAGCAAACAAATATTAAGCAACACACATAAAACAAGTAACTGTGAAAAACTAAATAAGTAAATAAGTAGATAAAAATAAATAATTTTTAAAAACAAACAAAATAAAAAGCAAAAACAAATGAAAAAAAATAACAGCAGGTAAACTAGGTACGATACAGCTAGAGCATATTACAATGGTTAAGATGTAAAGTCAGTCAGAGTGATTTAGGGTAACATATTTTAAAAGGTCCATATATGGTGGAGAGGTACGTGCTTGGCGTTGTAAAGCAAAATAGTCCCCAAAGAATTTATTTATTTATTTATTTATTTATTTATTTTTTTAAGAAATTGCTGCTATTTTACCACTGTCAACACACAAAACTCTGAAATTTAGATAGTAAATAAAATGTCTATATCGGTGTTGTAGTCATGGCGACCCCAGGTTCCTATCACCACCACTGTAAAGACATCTGAGTCTGTACAATCAACCGTTTCACACTAAACCACTCTGAATGAGTGTTTGAACCACTGAATTATGCAGAAACTTTCAGAAATAACAAAAGAAAAAGAGGATGCCACGACAGCAACCAAAGGCCACAAAATGGTTGTTGATTGCCTAAAGCTTAGGTTGCTAAGGGCAACTGTTAATGTTGAGCCCTAGTTTTGTAACTGATCATCTCCGGTCACACTTCAAAGCAACACCTCACCTACCAGCTTTCTAGAGATGTCATATCAAAACTAGATCGTTTAATGTAGGCATGATGCCCCCGTTTTGTCTGATGCTGGTGTGAATAACACACGCATCGCTATTTTGTCTAATTTTTTTAATTGTTTTTTATTATATTTATTATTTTATTTTATAATTTGTTCTTTTTTTTCCTGAGCAATTAATTGGAGCACTACTTTTAGATGATCAAACTCCTCAAGCACTGTACTACTTTGCACTAGGGAATATTTGTCAATATTCAGGGGAAAAATGCATTTCAATGTAAAAAAGCCCACTTAAATGTTAGAATCTCTCTTCTGTGGCTCCTAGTATGTTTCTGGCCCAGAGTTATGTAGCGATATTGCACACAGCTGCTACCCAAAGCACATCAGAACATGGCTTTGCTGACCATCAGTAATACAGTAATAAAAAACCAACAGCGATCTACTTTGGGTTTAATTAGTAGTACAGTCAGTCCAAATGTGAATGCTTTGTAGCATGATTAGCTAATCAAATAATGTGTATATGGTAGAGAAGTAAGCTGCTAGTTTAGCTGCTTGGCTAACACTGCTACTCAGCTACCGTAGACATTTTTTGCTTCAGAGTTGGTGTGCACATGCTTTCATTGCACATATTGATGATGTGATATATAACTGATTTGGGAGATTTTATAGGTCTGTACGTTCTCATGATTTCCAAGTTGAAAATCACCGGTTTCATAACAGCGTGAGTTTTTAAGGATGCCTGATATTTACTTGATACGGTGTTCACTGCAGTCATATTCTATGTGTTTAGTAAAATGTGTTTAAAATTGTAATTTATTTGAATATTTGGTAGTTTTTTAGAATTTTGCTGGGTTGTTTGTGCTGTGAAAAAAAAAAAGGGAGAACAAATATCAGAAAGTTCCTTTTGATGCTCATGAAGTGGACAAACTCAGGATGCTTTCCGCTTTGGAAAGGCGAGAGGAGAACAGTGCGTCTCTCCACCTCATTTCAGGAGCTAAAACTTTGCCAGTGCTTTCACTCACAGCTGGGATCGAAGAGGAGTTTGAGCTGATTTGGAGATCCAGCTCCACACGAGACAAAGCAAAAACGGGATAAACGTCTTTAAGCGCAAATAGGATCCGATTATTTGCTCCCAGCATGAACAAACGGTGACACTGGACTACTGTCCATTTTGTTAAAGTGGAACTAGTGTGAAGAGCTTCATCTCTTAATTCGGAGACTTTGAGTGCTTCCAAATATGACTCGTCTGTAGCACAGTTTTAGCTGCTTCCGGAGATTCTGATCCTTTTGTGTGTCAGTTGCTGGTACACAGCCAATTCGTCATCTTGGTTAGATGTAGATGTAGATTGAACTTTGTTATTGCGTAGTATGAGTACAGGGCAACAAAATGCAGTTAGGATCTACCAGAAGTGCAAATAGTAGCATTGTGCAAAAAAGTGCAAGTGTAATATTATCTATATATACAAGTAAAAACTACACAAAATAAATAAACAAGTTAAATAACAGTCTTTTAATATAAAATTATGTTGACAGCAGAGACGGCTGTGATTGGTCAGGGTTTATGTCAGCAGTGAAAGTTCACAAAAATCTAACAGAGGCTGAAAAAATTAATGCCACATTTTGCCGTCTGAAAAATCACATTTGTGTGCAAGAAGTGATTAGTTGTACACAAATTAATATGTTGTCGTCTGAGTAAATGGCATGGACAGGTCGTTCTTGGCATGAAAAGACCTTTACCCAGCACCAAAAAATAAATAGCCGTCAGTTTGACCTTCACTCTTATTCTCTTTTACAGACAGAAAACATTAATATCACTTACAGTCCATGATATTTAAGTGATATGTGCTAAATTTGCATAGACCTTTAGGCTCAGTCCCATTTATGTTTTACTCCTACCCCTTGTTTTCAAGTGTGTCCTTGTCCCTTGGAACTGAGTTACAAGTTGTAGTGGTTGAAATCTTCCCTCTGAAATGGGACCCTCAAATAAAAAGAGCATCACTTCATTAACAGCTACCAGCGCTGCTCTGTAGGCGACCCTGCCAGTCTGCAGTGACAGCAGAGGAGGGTAAAGTTCAGCTCCACACTGCTGGGCTTTAGTTACATTTAGGGCATCATATGACTTCAAAGAGGGGGGCAATTACTTATTATCACCCACCCCTAATTCTTCAGTGATATGAAGCTGAAGTCAGATATTCACCAGCTTCTTGTTCATATTTCCCGTTCCACCTTAAATGGTGCAGCAGTTGTGACACCATTTAAGGTGGAATGGGAAATGTAGCTGGCTCGCTACTGAGACATCAGCAAACTACTGGTGGTTTTCATGGTTGTTATGAAGAAAAGGACCATAATACATTGAAACAACATTAAACTAAGATAATACAGTGGTTTCTGTAATTTAACTGAGAAAATTCTCACATTTGTGGGTTTCTTTGGTCTTTTGCTCAGCCATCTTGCCAGAATTTCTTTTTTTTTTCCTGTAACACTCCGTTTGGAGGGCCATGTAGCCCTAACACTTCACCCTACCCCTCTATCTTAACAAGAATCGGGACACCCTACCCCTAGGAGTGAACATGCAAAACGGAGGGGTAGGGCTAAGTGATAGGAACAAGGGGTGAAATGGGATGGGGCCTTGGATTTGTGCAGTAGATTATTTCCACACTGCCAATATAATATCAACTCTCATATCCAGACAGCTAAAACATATGAGTGTTACGTTTTACAGTTTGTTTTAGCGCAGACAGTTCTTTGATATTTCAAAGGAGATTTGTTTCAGAATTAGATTGGAATCATTTTGTCTGATCTAGCACTTTCTGACCCGATGCTGATCTGGTTATCGCCTCTGTGCCCTCTGTAGTTAACACTTAATGCTCATTAATATGCCATGGTTTTTCATTCTCATTAGACGGGAGCAGTTGTCTCCTTTCAGACTCTCTGCTGTGAGGTGTAACTGTGTGATGCAGTCTGCAGATTTCTTTTCCTCCTTCTTTTTCTTTTGCGTGACTTGCTGTGTGAGTGACAGAGCCAAAGAGGAGGAGAGTGAGAGGTGGCTTACGAACGAAGGCGTTCAGTCTGAGACCAGATGTCTGCAGATTGTCTCTTAGCCAATGCGCTGAGTCTCTGTCACACTGCCTCTTCTTTTTATAAATACCTCAGCAGAACAGGGACCGCAGGGTTCACTCGCCACACACCCTGCGGCCCAGGGATGGCCATGTTTGTGTGTGTGTGTGTGTGTGTGTGTGTGTGTGTGTGTGTGTGTGTGTATATATATATATATATATATATATATATATATATATATATATATATATAGTTGAATGCAAAAGTTAGAAAACCTCCATTCAAATTACATTTTATGGTGAGGGTTAGGGTTATGGTGATTTCCTAGTTGATGCATCCTCTACAGAGAACACACATAAATATGACATTTTTCTGCAAAAGTGAAAAATGTTATTTATTTGCTGAGTGTAATGTATTGGAAAAGGTGCCATTATTTTTGCTCAGATCACATTTTATTTATTTATTTATTTATTTTTCAATATGTTAAATTGAGTAAACAAACATTGTGTTGGAAGATGTGTTCAGTTAAAAAATCAACAAAACATTTATTAATTTGACCAATAGTGCACACACTTCTGCAATGAGCGTAAATACAGCACTGTAAAAGTCACAGACAGCCCTTCATTTATTTAATTTCTAGTTAAAAAGTTATTTTTCAGCATCTGGAACAAAACAAAGAAGAAAACACATGGAAAATGACACAGGAGCTACTTCGACTAAATTGGATTTTTCAGTATTTAGTGTGTCCACTCTATTTTTCTTACAGCTTCCATTCTTTTCAGGAGACTCACTTTCAGTTCCTCAAAGAATCTGCAGACACACCTCCAAAGTTCAGTCTCAGAAGCTGGTTGATCATTTTCTGAAGTAATCAAACACATTCAGTGGTGTTGAGGTCTGGACTCTGGGGTGGTCAGTCCATCGTTCAGCTTCTTTGTTTGATGTGTCCGTCTCCTTTTCTCAGTGAGGTTCTTCTTGATCAGCTACACATCCTTTCAGACCCACAGCGCTGAGTCGTCTTCTCACAGTGGAAGGATGGACAGAAACACCTGTGGATGTTTTCCGATCTGAAGCAGCTTGATTTTCTTGTTGTTTTCTTTTAATCATTTTTGAGCTGTTTTCCTTTACCTTTTCTCTTCTTTATGCAAGTCTAAAATATAATATCTGAAAAAATGAATAACTTATTAAATACTAAATGGCCATAATGGCTAGAAATGAAATAATGAACTGTGTTCTCTGACACACCACTAACCATGTCTCTTTATGCCTATGTGTAATAATAAACCCAATCTCTGTGTGTTCTCAGAGGGCGTTCCTCAGGTGTACTACTTTGGCCCGTGTGGTAAATATAACGCCATGGTGCTGGAACTGTTAGGGCCCAGTTTGGAGGACCTGTTTGACCTGTGTGACAGAACCTTCTCCCTCAAGACCGTCCTCATGATCGCCATCCAGCTGGTGAGACTAAACTCCATCATAGGAGGGAAAAGAAAAGGAAAATATGGCTGTGAAGTGTTAAAGTGTGATGTAATGCAGTTTTAGATTATTGTAAGAGTTTCCTTGAATCTCATGTGCAGATGGGGCTCAAAAGATATAGACAGTTTTAATGAGCTAAACATTCTGGTAACTTTTATTTAAGCAATAGAGCACGAGAGAGAGTGTGTTTATCGCGAATAACATCACAGCTGTGATTTGGTCGCCGTAGATCATCACAGCCGTGATGTTATTGGCGATAACACACTCCTCGAGTGTTCTATTGCTTTTATACAACAGTTAAATAAATAAAGTAATAAATTAATAAACTGGGCCGTGAACGCGGCGTTTAATATGTTTTAATGTTCGCAGTTCCTTCACCAAATTATAGTTCCTTAACGAGCAGCTCGTTGCTACATCAGAATAACGAGCTCCGCCCACTCGCTGCACAGCTGGCAGTTCGTTCTCCAGCTCCTTACACTAAATTCCCAAACTGTCATCACCACTGAGCAGCTTTTCAGTCGGCAGCTGTGACAGAAGAACAGCTAAACAACCTGGAATCAGCCAGAAATGACCCGAATACCATTCTCCAAACATGTAGTCTGATCTTCAGAGTCTGACCAAATCAGACTGAGCCATAAAACTGCCGCAATATCAAGTTTAGCTCAGTTGTGTCAGTTTTCGCCAGATCAGTATTAATGTTGTTTTGTTCCAGCCAGTCTGTAAAGCATCTTACAGCCAATTAAGTTTGGCGAATGGTGTTGGGTTCATTTCTGGCTGATTCCAGGTTGTTTAGCTGTTCTTCTGTCTCAGCTGCCGACTGAAAAGCTGCTCAGTGTTGACGACAGTTTGGGAATTTAGTGTCGTCTCATCTTCAGAGTCTGACCAAATCGGCTGTCGGTCAAATGTGATCTTAATAGTATCCATTTTCTGTCTGTGGCAAAGTAAGAAGTAAAAACGTTCATATGGCTTGAGCGTCTCCTACAGCGGTCAGAGTCGTTGCTTAGCAACAGCATCTCAGCGGAGTGATAGTGTTTGTGAAAAAAAAGGTGACGTTATGGCGAAATAACAGCACAGTTAGACACTCAACCAATCAGCTTGCGTGGCTGGAACTAACTGTTGTATAAGTAATTACATAGGATATGATGTTTGATATAATGTGTAATTTTATATGTTTAACATTTTAACAGGCAGTTGTGCTTTACTGCCTGATGATTATCGTTAATATCATCCTATTTAATTGGCTAAATGATACATCAGTTTAAAGTATTAAGTGTTTTCCTTTTCCGTTCACAGATTACACGGATGGAATACGTACACACCAGAAGTTTAATCTACAGGGACGTCAAGCCTGAGAACTTCCTGGTGGGCCGGCCGGGCAGCAAGAGGCAGCACACCATCCACATCATCGACTTTGGGCTGGCCAAAGAGTACATCGACCCCGAGACCAAAAAACACATCCCGTACCGGGAACACAAGAGCCTGACTGGAACAGCACGCTACATGAGCATCAACACTCACCTGGGGAAAGGTATGATGCAGTTCTGTAGTGTACAAATATGACCAAACGTTGTAGTTGTACAATACAATGATATAACTGATGCATAATATAACCATATTGCTGTTGTTGGAACAAAACCTCACATGTCTACTTTTTACATTTTTCAGTTTTTGACAGTTTGAAAATACCTGTTGCTCTTCGCATTATATTTAAATTTCATGATAAATGGACCAAAAGAAACGACCCAAAATTAATTGAAAAAAATTCTGGTTCCGTTGACTTACATTACAAGTAAGGTAGTTTCTTTCCTCCTCCTGCAAAGTTACCATTTTGGAGATATGAAGTTTTGTTCCCACAACAGAGATGTGTTATGGTTGCACAGTACAACGATATGACTGATGTGCAATATAACCATATGCTATGGTTGTACAATACAATATAACTGATGTACAGTATAAGCCTTGTGCAGGAAGCTTTTCTGATTCAGAATCAGTCGTTTCATTTCGCCAAGTATGTTAAACACACAAGGAATTTGTCTGGGTGAGTCACACATGAATGGCAAGCGTACAAACTATTAACACGTATTTAACAAAGAGACTAATAAAATAAAAAGGCAATAAAAGAAATAAAGAATGAGAGAATAGTAAAGAGCCAATGTGAAAGGAGCTAATGTAAATATCTGTACATAAACAAATGAGTGTCTATACATATGGAGGTTTGAGAGGCTATATATTAATACACTGTTATAGCTGTTTTATACAGTATATTGCAGGATGATGTGAACATTTATAAAAATGAGCACATGTACAATAAGCTTTATCTTACAGAGGAGTTATACTGCAGTAGAGCAGTGGAGGTTTGTTGGATTTAGTTTAAGTTTAAAGTGCAAGATGTCCACTGTGGTTAATGAGCACTACAGCTCTGGGTAAAACGCTGTTGGTGTGTCTGGTTGTGCTGGTTTTGATGGTCTTGAATCTTCTACCAGAGGAAAGTGGCTGAAGAGGTGGTGGCCAGCACTCTCCATCACCCTGCTATTTTAGACTTTCATATTTTTATAAATTTAATCTACACTAAAACATTAAAACTGGCAGATTGTTGAGATAAGATGATAGTTAAGGTTATATTCTATTCTTCTGTAATTAGTTAAACTTCATAGCCCTAAAATAAATCAGATGAGTATGCTTGAACATTGAACACTTGTCCAGTGTGTCATTTTAAAAATCCCAAATTACCAAAAATTCCTTGAAAGTAATATCATATCTTGGAATGAACTCTTCAGTTGTAACAGCACATTATAGGACGTGTACAGATTTTAAACTGAAGGCGAAATAAATATCAGCTCGGTGCCCTGAATCTGCTGATATCCTGACTCAGGTGTTGGAATCAGGAGAAGAAAGTCAGACTGCTGCATCCCTGCTTATACTGTTGTTGTGACACCAGATATTGCAATACTTAATTTTGTAGCAGTATACAGATGAGCCCTCCAACCAATCACAGTGCTTTTTACTGTGTGCTCTGAGCTTCCTATGCGCCCTTAAGGCAATTTTGGTTAAAAAAAAAAAAAGCTAACTTTTTTTTATTATTTTTTTTTGCTGTGCCACGTTGTTGATTCGGCAATGTGTTAATGTTTTAAAAATATTGCAGGATATATCACGTTGACAATATGTAGCCATATAGTCACATTAGTAATATTTTATCTATAGGTAGCCCTTATACACCGTGCCCCGTTGAAAGCAAAGGTGTGACTCATCTTGGCTTGAAAATCATAATGTCCATAAATCTTTGCCTGAGACTTTTGAGTTTTGGTGACTCGATGATTTACTTATGGAAGGTTTTTAGAGTTTCGATGCCAGACTGTAAACTCTTCTGACATCATTAATGAAAGAGCAGTATGGAGCTGGACCTCCATACCAGGCCATTACATCATCTGATGCTGAGGCAAAATTATTGGCTAACAAGTCAGAAATGATGACACGTTTCAAATTGCCTTGAAATAGGTAACCACATCCTTACAACTATTCTTAAAGAGGAAATCCACAGATTTTTTTTACTTTGTGTGTAATTCAGTGGATGGTATGTAAACAAAAACTTTCAAAGTGGTTTGATGTGAAATGGTTAATTGTAAGGAAACTTAGGCTCAGTTTACGCAGCAGGTAAAAGTGGCCCAAATCTGATTTTCTCACTAAATCCGATTTTTTTGTTTGGCTGTTCACATAATGTTTTAAATGTGATCCTATATGCAACATCAGTCTGAACAGATCAGCTCCTAAAATGACCCGAATGCCCAAAAGAACAGTGCTTCACGTGGCTTGTCCAGAGGTAAACAGTCATGATGACCAGCGAACGCCAGTCGCTCCTGGAGGGTTCAGTTTCATCTTCGCTGGCATCACAGGAGCGATTATGAAGTTCCAATGGTTGACAGCTGGGCTCATCACCCACAATGTGTTCGAGTTTTCGCGTAAAAAGGGCACGTTTTTCAGCCACGGTCACTTCTTCTTCACGGTTCGTGTCCTTGGATTCTTTAAACTTTTATTTGACGCTGTCGCTTCAGCTGTTTCGTTCGAGTCTCAGCAGTGCGAAATTATGATGAATGTGGAGTTGGATTGATGTAAAAGTTGTCACATTGCTGCAGATCAGATACGTATCGATTTCAGTAGCACATATGAAAGCGTCTCAAATCAGAATTGAAAATGTCAGATTCAGTGTGTTTTTTGCTGTTCACAGCCACACAGACACATCTGTGTCACGTATGGAGAAAAAGGTTGGATTTGGGCCACTTTTACCTGCTGTGTGAACAAAGCCTTACTGACTCATAACACCCTGCATGTACCTCTTCACCATGAATGGATTGAAAAAATACATTTTAGGCCAAAACCTTCTCAATATTATCATAAAACAATTTTTCAGACATTAGGCAGTGTATTCATAACTGTTTCATGTAATAACTTTCTGTGAGGGAGCTTTTAGAGGCATTAAAACCCATCAGACATCTGTTTCCTATCACCATCACTATGAACCGCTGTGATTTGGTAAGTTCGTCTACAGTTTGGCAGTTCATATCAAACCACTCTGAATGACTTTGTTTACATCCTACTGATTTAGTTAAGCAAAAAAAAAAAGAAAATTCAGTGGAATTTACATACATTCCTGTATGCTAGAGCTGCAGGGTGACATTTGTTTTAAATGCTGCAGAGGAAGTGAAGTCATTATTGTTTTTACCTTGTTAATCATTTTATCTGGGGTTATGTTTTTATTGCTCCTTACTGAAAAATCTCATGTCATCTTAAATTCCACCCACTCATTTATCGAATTCTGTGGTTTGACACCACTTTCATGGGAGCCTTCAGTATGCAGCCTACACATCTTCACCGAGATGCATTTTTATATGTTTCTTTTCTCTCTTCTCGTACAGAGCAGAGCAGGCGGGATGATTTGGAGGCTCTGGGTCACATGTTCATGTATTTCCTACGAGGCAGCCTGCCCTGGCAAGGCCTGAAGGTACAGTATGGAAAAGAGAAAACTTCACTGCTTTTGCTGAAGACCAGGACTAACTAACTGTCACAGTGTAAGACACAGGGTGTAAGGCTGCCTTCACATGGTGCAACTGGTTGCGTGTAGTGAGTTAATTCAAAAACAATCAAAGTTGCATGCAATACATTTTGATTACTCCGCTACAAATTAGCGGTTTGTATTTTTTGGTACACCGTCTCATTTTTGCTATATAAAATCATCGGTGTGGTGGTGTTTATGTATTTGCAGCATTCATATAATGTTAGGGTGGCTTTACATGGTGAAAATAAAATTTTAGTTGCTTGAAACTTACATGAGACTAAATTGCACTTGCATTGCATTTTGTAAAGACTCATTTGAAACTCTGCGTTCTCTCTACTCTGTATATCTACTTTGTGAATCAACTTTCACAAAACTGCCAAAACGGTGATGACACACTGCATGATCACGTCGACCAGCATGCTTTAAAACAACTGACTTGACTAAATAATGGGTTGCATGCATCTTGGATGTTTTCAGATTGCTTCATGCAATTTGAGCTCTCTTTAAAATTGGAGGGTAAGGGCAAGAAAGGGGAAACTAAATCTAAGGGAATCACGTTAACTGCTGGAGAACAGAATAATACATGGTGGCACAAGCAGACGTTTAAACAGCTGTTGGCGTTAGCTGGCTAGTTAATGCTGCTGGTTACAGAAATGTTAGCTTTTATGAACTCAGGGTTTTTTGTTAAAATGGTTCACGAAACTGACAAAATGGAAAATGACCAGCCTTGTGTGAAGTCAGTCAGGATCTCATGTTTAACTGTCCAAGCTTTCTGCAGGAGAGCTTTTCTAATTCTGTTGTATTTCATGTTAGCTTTGTTAGAGAATAACTATTTTAGACTTGTATCAGTTTTTTATAGCCTAAAAAATAAAAATCTGATTTTTGGGTGATTTGAGGTCTCGGTTTCATTTTCTTGTCCGTTTGCCGGGTAAAATCAAACGTTTGACCTGATCGCGTGATGCGTCATCTGCATTTGAAACTTATTCCATGAATTTGAAGTGGTTTGCAGCTGAGTTTCAAGTGAGTTGTAGAGTGCTTTACATTATGCAACTCAAGTGCAATTTAGTTTCATGTCTGTTTCAGTTAACTAAAGTTGCTCGCATGTTTCACCATGTTGTTTTACCAGCTTAACAGGCATTATTTCATGTACATGCAGTGCGCTACGTAAAGATTTAACCCTAGATTCATATTTCTTTAGAAACCTGCTGAGTCTAAGGAGACTTCTTTGGAAAACCCGATTTATTGTTCCGTGTGTCGACTTGTGGTCGATCTTACATTTAACACTTTAGCGCTAAAGTGTTTTGCAGCAGCACAATATCTGATCTGCATTTAAGCGTGCTGGGAAAACCCTCAAGGTGAACGTGGAACAAGATGCCTTTCTGACGCCTTTCACTGATGAGAGCTTCTGCTATCTTAACCTTCCCCCAGCAGTGTTTTCTTCAGTTTGTGGCTTTGAGATTCCTCTTATCTCACTGAGCTAATGTCATGACATACCTCTGTCTGCAGAAGCGGACAGCAGGCTAACCACTGGCTGCACTCTGAGGAAAGGCTGACCTATTTAAAGAAGCTGAAAAAGATCTTGTTCCCAATTTTTTGTCATTTTGCAACCTTTAGGACCTTTTTTCAAAGTTTCAGTTTCAGTTACGCATCAAGAAAGCTGTGTACACGACGCACGTTTAACCTCAGATGAAAAATATAACTTCACCCCCCCCCTCTGTTATCTTCTCTTTTCCTCTTCTCTCTCTTATTCATCTAGGCTGACACACTGAAAGAGCGCTATCAAAAAATAGGAGACACCAAAAGAGCGACTCCCATTGAAGTGCTCTGTGAAAGCTTCCCAGGTTTGTTTACAGTTTTCTCTCAAGCAGTAGAGTCAACTAAAGATGCTAATGCAGCTATCAGTGAATAAATGTTACTGGGGGACCAGTTAAGGAGGGTCCCTAATAGCATTTAATAACTGTCCTTATCAGCGATTCTAGGACTTTTTTGCACATTCTCCTTTAAAGGGTCCATATCCTATGTTTTTCTTGCTTTTATATCATTTATGGGCTTATGTAGCAAAAACAGTTGTAAATTATTAGGGCTGGCCTGAATAATTTACTACTCAAGCAACATAATTTGTTCATTATGTTGGTATTTGTGTCCTTATTTAGTTTTCAGAAGGTTTGTCTTTTGTTAGCGCTTTAGACCCAGCAAAATTCTGGACAACGCTTGTGGAATTCTGACAGTTTTTGCCATATGAGGCAATAAAATCGTGTTATAGCCAGTAACGTCAGCTAAAGTTTTAACACAGCCACACTCTCCCTGCAATTTCCTACCTCCCCCCTTTTCTTTGAAAGACAGACAAAAAAGAGAGAAGATATGAAGATGGTAAACAAAGTTTAAACAAATAGAAATGGTCAAATACGAGTTCATTTGTTTGGCTCTGCCGCAGAGCTGAGAGACAGAGCGTGAAAGATTAAGATTAAGTGACCCTTATTAGTCCCACGACGGGGAAATTTCACCTCTGCATTTGACCCATCTGTGCAGTGAATCACCACACACACACTAGGGGGCTGTGAGCACACTTGCCCGGAGCGGTGGGCAGCCCTATCCGCAGCGCCCAGGGAGCAGGGGGTTAGGTGTCTTGCTCAAGGGCACTTCATTCACATACTGTCGCCTCAGGGGATCAAACCGGCAACCTTCCGGTCACAGGGCTGGTTCTCTAACCTCCAGCACATGAGTTTAACTGAAAATTCTAAGTCTGTGTGAATTAAGTTTGAAACGTTGAAATAATTCACCACGTCGTCAGTCCTGAATGAGATTTCTGGTTTGTCTCTCAAGGTTATTTCACTCATGATAGAATTAAACTTGGACCCCAGTGTTAACAATGGAATATGAACTCGGCTATCCATTCAGTAAAGCAGCTGAACTAACTATGAAAACACATTGTTAAGCACAGATTTAAAAAAAAAAGACCTCTTGAACTTAGACATATCTAGATATGCAGAAACCCAGTCAAACTCATCCGTCTCCTTATCTGACGTAACTTTACAGCATATATGATGGATCTCTTGGCAGTTTTGAGACATCCGTCTTGAAAAGGGTTGTATAAATGTGCAAAACTGCTTGTTACAATTTAAAAGCTGGAATATTTTAATTAAAAAGCAAACGAACATACTTCAAAATGATTATGAAATGTAAATATTGTTGTTTTGAGGATAGTGTTGAGACGGAGTACTCGAGTGTAAACTGTTGTTTGTGTCAGCACCATAATTGCTTTTTACATGAGCAGCTTCCAGCCTCTCTCTGTCCCTCAGAATTAAACAGACTGTTTGTTTTTGTTACTGCGCCTTTAGGACCCATACGTAAATGAGCTCTGTTTTGATTGGCTGCCTGTATTGGACCTGATTTAAAAATATATGTAAATATATTTTTTGTGACATCACTAAAACAGGTTATTCATAATGTGCTGTTAGTTGTTATAAATAGGCTGGGAGTGTTTTGTTGGGTATGTTTTCGTACACGTTTATAAAAAAAAAAGAGAACAATTAAATTTTCCATGGTATGGGCCCTTTAAGCAGAGAGTATGTGAGTCTCCTTTGTTTCACCTGTTCAGTTCTGGTTTAGTTTTCTGTGAGTGACTCTGACGTTGGCTCTGTCCTACAGAAGAGATGGCCACCTACTTGCGCTACGTGAGGAGACTGGACTTCTTTGAGAAACCGGATTATGACTACTTACGCAAACTCTTCACAGACCTTTTTGACAGGAATGGCTACGTGTTCGACTATGAATATGACTGGGTCGGCAAACCTCTGGTACGTCCCAGAAGGGTCGGTGGTGGGGCTGCTCTTTTCTGAGTGTATGATGGGTATGGTCAGTGTTACTGAACCCAATTATAGAGAGACTCAAAACAATAACGACAATTAGTGTATTTTAACTATATAAATTGCATTTTTTTTTCCCCTCCAAATAGTTTTCTTTTGCAAACATCCCCCTTACTTATCGCCCTTTGTTCTCACTGCACTTTGTTTTTAGCATTGCATCTTTTAATAAGCTAATTTTAATGAAACTGAAGCCCTTTGTCTTTCCTTTTTATGTTTTTTGTATTTTGTTTTAATGTGCTTCCTTTTAATTGTTAGTTTTATGATTTTAAACTAGTGCACTTGTATCTTTTTAGGCCTTTATTCTTTTTTTATGGTTTTTGCTTTTATTTATATGAAACGTATTGAATGAAATGTGCTATATGAATAACTTGCCTTGCCTATAAAGTAAACCAGGTGCCAAACTGCATAAACAGTGTTTTTAGTAATTTTCTTTGCTTTTTTTTCCTGTTGTTTTCTGTTCAGCCAACTCCAATAGGACCGATCCCCAGCGATACACCGCTTCAGCCCAGCAGCAGAGATAAAGCACAGCAGCAGACCAAAAACCAGGTAAAAACACTGACATTTTCAGATCAGTAAACACCCGCTTGGAGCTCTCTTTCCTACCGGGGTCATCAGTACATTAAGTACTGCACAAACGTTTTAGGTGTCTGAGAAAGTTTAATACAAAAAGCTGATAATGTGGTCAGTATGCATTTGAATGTGAATATGTGAATATATACAAATCACTTTAATACAGTAAGTAGTGATTTTATGTACGTCCATGATTTTTCCTTAACCATTTCCAAACTTCCCCTCATATCAGCCCATTTTATTTGTAGTTATTATCAACACCTGGTTCAGTTAATGAGTCCTTCATTAAATTAAATCAAGTGTGCTTGTGATGGTGTAACAGATACATGTGATAGCTGGAGGCGTCCAGGAGAAACCTGGAACCAAACCTGCTTACAAGATATTTACTTTTTCACAATTGTTCACAGTGGTGGTGATAGGAACCAGACGTCCACCTCTAAAAGCTCCCTCACAGAAAGTTACTACGTGAAATGGTTATGGATACTGACGCAATGACGGTGTTTAACAGTAGTTTTAGGTGTGGTTTAAAAAGAGGCAAAATAGTCCCCAAAGAAAACTTATTTTATCAAATTTTCAGATTTTACCATCATCACCATTCCATATAAAAACTCAGAAGACACATGTGGGTTTACTGGTGGTTTTGGATAGTAAATAAACTGGCTATATTTGTGCTGTAGACATTGTGACCTCTGGTTCCCATCACCACCACTGTAAAATTGTAAAGAGTGTAACAGATACATGTGATTGCTGGAGGCGTCCAGGAGAAACTTGGAACCAAACCTGCTTAGAAGATATTTACTTTTTACAAGAATAAGAATTCTTACATTTTATTCATTTATTTGTTTCTAATTTAGTGATATATTGTGATTTTACAAGCACAGACTTATTGCCCAGATGAATGGTTTTAGATCATGCATTTGGGTGACAAAGACTTGCACAGTACTGTATGTTTGCAAAGAACGCATTCAGATAAACTGAAATAGGTTTGTTTAGGATAACGACTGCCTCAGACGAAAGTTCTCAGACACAGTAAGCCCTGCACTTATCTGCGATTCGTTTGCCTGAGCCTGATGGATATGAAAATTGTTTTACCATTTCTGTATTAAAGGGGCTAAAGATTCTGATAACTGATAATATTGGCCAATATTATACATGGTCAAATGATAAACAGACCCTAATAATCAGTCTTATTAGTGCACCTTAGCGCCCAGTGTTGACTGCTGTTCAATATAACATCATCCTCATGAGCCTTGTTTTGTTATTTAATATGTAAGGAGACATTTCCATGTGTTATCGGTGGGATTTCCTCTGATGCTGAAAAGTGAGAACTTTAATACTGGCCAATTTTATTGGACAGCTGATATATCAGTCAGGCTCAGCACTTACTACCCATTTATGGCAGCTCCTCACATTTTAGCGTACAGAGAGAACGCTAGATGAAAACATGAGCAGGATCATTCACACATGATTGACATGTCAGGTAATGGTATGGGACATGGAGACCTTGTTCACATGTATTTGTACAGCGGGTGTCACATGGTACTGGAAACAATGACTTTACCTGATTAAATTCATTTGTGATCTTCCCATTTGGCTGTAGCCTGTATTATAGAAAATTATTACACATTTATAAAGGCCCAGATGCTGACAGTACACATTTAGACTTGTAGAATCACACTATTAGCGTTATTCTATGAGGGCAAATGCATGTTTTCCATGCTAAACTGTAGGCTTTGCTAATAATGCAATGACTGTTGGGTACAGGTCCAGTGTCTAGAGTATTTGTCTGAAGGAGTTTGTCCTTTTATAAATTCCATTTATAGATGTTAGGTGGCAGCATTGTGCAGCTTTTAGGGGTGATGATACAGATTGAAACTAGGTCTGTCTGTTAGGGCTGTCAGATTGACTTGATTACTTGAGTTTAAGTAATAAATTAAAATGTACCTTTTTATTTACCTACTTCATTCTCCCACTGTTCTCTCTTACAGTAAGATCAGAGCTTTTTTCTTAATGGTTTTTGGTTGCCACATAGTATTTTTCTACATTTTTAAAGAAGTCTTTAAAGGCGTCTTAGTAGGGTTGGGAAATATAACAATATTATTGTTATTGTGATTAATTATGTCACAATATGTCACAATATGCATTTCTGGATAACATAGAGAGCAAAATTAGTCCTGTTTAATTACATTTACTGCAGCACAGTATGTTAATTATTGAATGCAAATCCCGAGATTCATAGTGTTTGACATTAATTTTTCACATGGCACTGCTTTTTGTTCTGACATCTGTTCCAGCTTATCAGATATTATCATGAAATCATCTTGAAGAATTGTGAGATCACAATTTTGCCATATTGCCTAGCTCCGTTTTGTTTGTTTTCCCAGTAAAGTGTTATTTTGCATTTTTAAAAACTCAATTTACTTGATTGTCAATGATAATTTACTCATTGCTAATATAATCAGTAGTGACAGCCCTACTGTCTGGTAGCTCTGTTTATGTTTACTGTGTGGTAGTGACAATATAAAGTGGAGCACTGACCTCCACAGCTAGTCTAGTATTGTTTAAAAAAATGGTGTAGAGCTGAAGGGAAAACCCACCATTCCTTTTCCAAATTTCTGCATAATTAAATGATTTAAGATCTGAAGAGATTCATTCAGGTTTAATGTGAAATGCTCTGTTCTAGAGAAACTCAGAACTGTTCACAGTGGTGGTGATAGGAACCAGATGTCCACCTCTAAAAGCTCCCTCACAGAGAGTTATTACATAAAATGGTTATGGATACTGATGCAGTGACAGTGTTTTTATAGCTTTAGGTTTGGTTTAAAAGGAGGCAAAATAGTCCCCAAAGAAAACTTATTTTTTAAGATTTCTAGATTTTACCATCATCATCATTCCATATAAACACACGAAGACTCGTGTAGGGTCACTGGTGGTTTTGGATAGTAAATAAAATGTCTATATTTGTGTTGTCGTCATGGTGACCCCTGGTTCCTATCACCACTGCTGTAAAGAAAGTCTGTAAGTTTATCTACAGTGAACCATTTCATATCAAACCTCTCTGAATGTTTACATCTCGACATTTGCATTTTGCCAATTTTGAAAAATAGGTGGACTTCCCCTTGAAGATTTTGATTGCATGTGATAGGCAGTTTTGTTTTTGAGTATTGTGGATCAGTGCAGGGTTTCCATCCAAACTAAGAGCTTAGCAGGCCTCCTCATCTCTGCATGTTATGCTCTCTCTCTCTCTCTCTCTCTTCACTTGCACTTCTTTCTCACCTGTCTCCTCTGTTAGCTAGAGCAGTCTGCTTCTGCATGGACAGTATTCCTCTTTAAAACTTTCTGTTGTTTTTCTTTCTTTCCTTTACACCTTCACCTCCCTTCAACTGCACCTCTTTTGACCTTTGACAATCCCCCCTCCTCCCCCATCGCTGTCGCGCCAGTCGCCAGAACCCAAAGGAAGTGAATCCCAGCCGACTCCTGTCACCAACAGAGAGCTCCTGGGGTCGCACCTCACAGCTGATAGGCTGGGGGGCTCTGTCCAGGTACTGGGTGTGTGCGCTGTGCTGCTTGGACTTGGCGTGTCTCTCTCTTTGTATAACTTGCATGCTTTTTCCCCCTCTTTGTCTCTCTTTCTCTCCGTCTCTCCTTCTCACTAATACAAACACATGAGGGCTGCAATGGTCAGTCAACAAAGTTGCTTAGTGGTCAGCGATGTCGATTTGGAGGGAAGAACAGTTAAAACGAGCCTTTTACAGTGCTGCACAACAGGCCTGACCAAAGTTGGGCCCACCAGGATGCTGATTTGGCCCTTCAGAAAGCTGCCTTCATCCACTGAAGCAGATATGAACATTTTGTCACTGAGTGCGTTTAGATTCACTTCGTAATCCGATAACTGCAGAAGGTCTTTGAGTAATCAGATATTAGGGAGACTCCAGGTCTACATGATTCAGACAGTAATCGGATTTCGGCTTTGCAACCAGCCAATAAACTCACAGAAGAAGACGTGACGTAAACGTAACGTAAAACTCAAACTTCATGACACGGCTTTTTTAAAAAACATCCTTCATTTCGTCAAGCATGTATTTGGTTTCAGCGTCGGTCTGAAAGTGTTCTGCTGCGTCTCGCGGCGATGCTGCTCACTTATTTCCAGTCCCGGAAAGAAATCAGAGTAAGAGTTTACATGCACTGAGAAATCTGATTACTGAGCTAAAATCCAGCTCTCTTTATCAGATTTCTTAATCAGATTTCTAGACCTTACATGACCATTTGAATAATCAGATAACTGCAGAAATCCGATTATGATCGGAGTATTGAGTGCATGTAAACACACTTACTGATAATAATTTTAGAGCACTGGGGGCTCCCTGGAGTTCTTAGTGTTTTTGGTTTCTAATAATAGGCTCTTACTTTACTTTTTTCCCCCCATTAGTTCTCTTTACATTTCATATTTACTACAACATGCGACCAGTAGTGAGGTACGTGACAGGTTTTATTAAAAATATCCATAAATCCGTAGAACTGTAATATCACCAGTATTCATTACATGGTGCTCATGGTCATTTTGGCCGGTTGTTGAGATGACTGGCAGATGGCATAACAGTCCAGTTCGTTGATTAATTGAACAATCGGTGACAATCAATTATAGTGATAATTATTGGTTGCGGCCCTGAAATACCCTCTCTATGCAGTCTCTCTCCCTCTGTTTCAGTCGCTCACTCGCACACATGCACTCACTCACTCACTCACTCTCTTTTCCTCTCCAAGTTTGCTGTTTCTTTTTCCTACTGTGTGCAGTCTTTCCTCTCCGCTCCTCTCTACCTCACATGCTGCATGCTTTCTAACGCCAGGCCAGCGTGAAGCTCTGCCTCCTATAGGGAGCTGATGACTTCATTGTAAATCCAACTGCTTTACTTAAGAAAAAATAATAAATACAAAAAGTTAGGTTTGTGTGATCAGAGTTAAATTTATTATTCCACAAGGTTTGAGTTTTTGATTATTTATACAACCAGAAAGGGTGAATTATGGATAAAAGAGAGGTTTTCACTAATGACCCTGATTAATGAAGTGAGATGTCATAAGTATATTTTTGCAGCTTGTTCAGATCTCCAGGGTACTCAAGCATGTTCTGCTATAACACCACATCGGCTCCTGTGCTGGTTTTCAGGTAATGAGTTCGACCAACGGCGAGGTGAACACAGATGACCCCACAGCGGGACACTCAAACGCCCCCATTACTGCCCCTGCTGAGGTGGAGGTCGCCGACGATACGAAGTAAGTAAAATTCATCAGCTTCCGTTGCACTTTCCATCCTGCAGACACCAGAATGAAACTGACGCAACGTTTAAGGTGGAATGGAAAAATTCTCATCCTTGTTTTCTAAATTTGCCACTATTTTTTGTTCAAAAAAAAGGGTACATGCCAAAACTGGCTCTGACTACACCCACATAGAATGTAGACTCTAACTGGAAAACAAAAATTGACTTTACCTACAAATCACAAGTTGAAGTTAAGATACATATAGACTCTGTTTACACCTGGACACTTCATGTGACTAGTATAGGATCTCAACATCAAATTTAATTAAGCATTAAAAGATGTCATGTTAAAGAGCGCAGCTGCTTTTCTAGCTCTGAAACCATTCAAATCTGAACTTATCCAACCAGTAAGTGCAATTCATTCAGGCTTAAGCTGCTGCAGGTAGAGGTGGCTCAGATCTCGTCTCTATATGTGACTCAGATTTGTTTTTGTGTGACTGAACAGCAACAAAAACCTCACAATCTTTTTCAGGTTTGAGCCACTTTTATATGTGGTACTGAAATCTGTTACACATCTGATATGCAGCAGTGTAAACTCTGTCTGAACTGCCAGATCGGAATTCAGGCGGCTTTTATGTCAGTCCAACTCAGTCTTTATCATAGTTTCATACACGGGGCAGTCATGGGCTGGAGGATAGGGAACCAGCCCTGTGACCGGAAGGTCACTGGTTTGATCCCCTGAGCCGACAGTACGTGACAGAAGTGCCCTTGAGCAAGGCACCTAACCCCCAACTGCTCCCTGGGCGCTGCGGATAGTGCTGCCCACCCCTCCGGGCAAGTGTGCTCACCGCCCCCTAGTGTGTCTTCACTAGTGTGTGTATGTGGTGTTTCACTGCAAGGATGGGTCAAATGCGGAGGTGAAATATCCCCATTGTGGGACAAATAAGGGTCACTTAATAATAATAATAATAATAATAATAATAATATTAATGATAACAGACCCTTTATGGCAACATCATCAATGGGCCACTTTACCTGCAGTTTAAGGCCAAGTCCTATTTCACCCTTTCCCCCTACCACTTAGCCCCTACACCTCTATCTTGCGCGTTCACGTCTGGGGGTAGGGTGTCCCGATTTTGTTGAGGTAGAGAGGTTGGCCCTCCAAACAGAGGTTTTTCAGAGACACACTACAGAGTGTTATGAGTAAAAAGAAAAACAGGTAAGATGGCTAGCTAGCTAAACTTCCCGTACCTGAAAATTTGAACGAGAAGCTGGTGAATGTCTGACTTGAGCTTCATATCACTGAAGAATTAGGGGTTTAAAAAAAAAAATAGGGCCCCCCCTCTTTGAAGGCGTATGATGCCCTAAATGTAAAGCGAGCCTGCTGTACTTTACCCTCCTCTGCTGTCACTGCAGACTGGCAGGGTCGCCTACAGAGCAGCGCTAGTAGCTGTTAATGAAGTAATGTTCTTTTTATTTGAGGGTCCCATTTCATAGGGAAGGTTTCAACTACTACCTCTTGGAACTGAGATACAGGAGACACTCGAAAGCTAGGGGTAGAAATAAAACATGGGATTGGGCCTTAATGTGATGCATACACTGTTTTCCCTTAAATAAAATATTTTAAAAGTGGAATTGTACAAAAATCAGGATTTCGAGGCTGTTCAGGTTAGACAGAGTTAGTACCGTGCCGGTTCTCGTTACGTGCCGACACTTGAGGCTCAGGTTTCGGTACTGGAAGGGAAGAAGTGGTATCGGTGCATCGCTAGTTTCAGGAAAGGAACAGATGCTGGACAAAGTGCTTCATCTCTGAACTTCTCTGTCTGATTTCAGGTGCTGTTGCTTCTTCAAGAGGAGGAAGAGGAAAGCGCTCCAGCGACACAAGTGAAGACGGCCAGAGAGACAGTGAAGCGTTCACAGACACTGACGTGATCCGAAACGGAAACGAAACAAACGAAAGAAAGTAAAAGTCAAAGAAAAGAGGACTGGAGCGAGTGCAGCACTTTCTTTGTGTGTGTGTGTGCTCTCTGAAGAATCTGAACAGCAGAACACACTCATACACACACACACGCACACTGCCTCCGCTGCAGCATCAGAGAGGAGACCACCGATCCCCCACCCCACCCCACCCACCTCTGAACTCCCATCGACAAGGAACGGTTTAGAGGAAGTGTTTGTGTATAACGTGTGGGTCACAAGAGAACAGAAAGTGCTAACGTGTTTTGTGACCTGAATGGAGACGAACACTTGTATTTTAGATCACCATGAAAGGAAAAAATAACATTTATTGAACTAAAAAGATAAAAAAGAAGTTTAAACACAGATACACACAGAAATTGTGGCTGAGTGAGAGATGTACTCCACGGTGTTTGATTTTTACGGGATCAAAGTGAGAAAAAATAAGGAAAAGGCTGCTGACTGTGATGCGCCGAGTCAGGAATCGATAAAAACAGGAAAAAAAATGTCGTGAACACCAGAATCAATCTGCTTATGTAAATTGTCTGTCCTTTTTTTTTTTTTCCTTTTTTGTAATTTAAGATTTTTTTTTTTTAAAGCTCAGCCTACCCTGAGTCAGTTTTATTCATGTTGTAGTGTGAATTCTTTTCTTTTTTTATTGCTCTTTTGTGTTTTTTCCTCCTTTTTTTTCCTCCCCCTCTGTCTGTGGATGTTGTAGCACAGTGGCTGGTCTCAGGTACTGTGGAAGACGGAGAGAAAGACATGGCATCTCTCTTCTTTTGAATTGCACTTTTTAAGGGGGGGAAGAAACGCGTTCATATTTCTGCTGTTAAAGGGGAACTCCACCAGTTTTTCAAAATTTCTGCATAATTCAGTAGCTGTAAACAGAGTGGTTTGGTGTGAAATGGTCCAGATGTCTTTACAGTGGTGGTGATGGGGACCAGGGGTCACCATGACTACAACACGAACATAGACAATTTAATTTACTATCCAAAACCACCAGTGAACCTACACAGTGTCTATATGAAATGCTGATGATGATAAAATAGTGGTTAAGTTTTATTTAGGTACTATTTTACATTAGAATGTACCTGGATTGGGATTAAAAATACATATTTAATACCAAAATCATCTCAAAACCATTGTAAAACAGGTTCTCGGTCATCAGGCAGTGAATTCATAACTATTTCATGTACTAACTTTCTGTGAGGGAGCTTTTAGAGGTGGACGTCTGGTTCCTGTCACCACCACTGTGAACAATTCTGACTCTGTAAGTTTCTCTAGAACAGAGCGTTTCATACCAAACCACTCTGAATGATGATTAAATTGTGTACAGATTTTGAAAAATCAGAAATTCCCCTTTAATTAACAGAAAATAAAAAAATAAGTAAGTAAATGCAGATGTGGGATAATTTCTCCAAAGGAACAAAGTGATGCTCTCTGGGTTTGGAGGAGTTAAGGGGTGGACAGTGTGGCTTTGTGCCCTTTTTTTCTTTTTTTTTTCCCACAATATATTTTTCACAATAGTTTAAGTTACCTGGGAAACATAGTTTGTGCCTTTCCAAGTAAAACCATTTAACACTAACGTCCCTCTTCTATGAGATTTTTACCCAGTTCAGGTGTTCTTGGCCCTCTCTCTCTCTCTCTCTCTCTCTCTCTCTCTCTCTCTCTCTCTCTCTCTCTCTTTCTCTTTCTCTTTCTTTCTCTTTCTCTGTCTCTCGCTCTCACTCTATTTTTCTCTCTCTCTCTCTCTTGTCTCTCTGTCTCTCGCTCTATTTTTTTCTCTCTCTCTCCCCGTTCGGTCTCCACTGTGCGGTCCAGGGCCATTAAATGGAGTCAGTTGGCATTGACTTTCTTTCACTGTTGTAAATTGCATCATAGTTAGCTTCACAGGAAATGAATATATGGGTTTATAAACATTTAACAGAGGTTGCCTATCAGAGTGAGGATGTATGATGATTTACATACCTATTAAATGTTGTTTTTTTTTCTTCTACACATCATCAAGATTTTTTAATTACATGTACGCTGTAATAAAATGATGTGGCTGCTTTAAAATGTGACCTTTTAAAATAAGTTAACAGAATGTAACAGATTATTGTTCTGTTAACTTACTATTAGAAATGCAATGAAATCAATCAATTTTAATGCAGTCTGGTTACTTTTGAGGGAAAGCCCACTCATTTTTCAAAATTTCTACATAATTCAGTGTGTGAGATGTAAACAGAGTGATTCAGAGTGGTTCAGTGTGAAATGGTTCAGATGTCTTTACAGTGGTGGTGATAGGAACCAGGGGTCGCCATGACTACAACACAAATACAGACATTTTATTTACTATCCAGAACCACCATTGAACCTACACGAGTCTTCTGAGTATTTATATTGAATGTTGATGATGGGAAAATAGTGGAAAATCTGAAATAAGTTTTCTTTGGGGACTGTTTTGCCTCACAACACCCTGCATGTATCCCTCCACCATGAAATGAGTTTTAAGCCAAAATCTTCTCAAAATTATCGTAAAACAGTGTCTCAGTCATCAGGCAGTGAATTCATAACCATTTCATGTAGTAACTTTCTGTGAGGGAGCTTTTAGAGGTGGACGTCTGGTTCCTATCACCACCACTGTGAACAATTCTGTAAGTTTCTCTAGAACAGAGCATCGCCAAACCACTCTGGACGACTTCTTGAAATGTTAAAAAATCAGTTGAAATCCCCTTAAAATGGAAACAGGTCTTTGTTCAGTGCAGATGCTGAATTGTTATTAAACTTTATTGAATTTCAAAGTTAAGTAAAGCGGAAATATATTTACATTTTCCCAAATTACATTCAGAATATTTAGAAAATATACACTGATTCTACATCACAGAAATATCCACAAGAATCCCAACATGCCAACAGTTTCAACAGTCAGTTTCACCTGACAGGTAAAGATGCATTTTGGTTATTGTACCCATCCCTTTGCTTCATTTAGAGGGGGGGGTAAAAATTGCCTCACGTTTGCCTCAGCAGGACACCTGATGCTGTAAATGAAGGTGATTCCAAAAGGAATTCCTGCATTATTAAGTGGTTAAGATGTAAGCAGAGTCATTCAGAGTGGTTTGGTGTGAAACGCTCTGTTATAGATCAACTTACTGAGTCAGAACTGTTCACAGTGGTGGTGAAAGGAACCAGACGTCCACCTCTAAAAGCTCCCTCACAGAGAGTTACTACATGATTATGATTCACTGAGACGTTTAATGATCGTTGTGAGGAGGTTTTTGGACTAAAACGTATGTTTTAATCCATTCATGATGGACAGTTCTCAAAGAAAACCTTTTTTTATCACTTTCATCATCGTCAACATTTCATATAAAACCTCAGAAGATACGTGTAGGTTCACTGGTGGTTTTGGAGTTTTCTGAGTCCGTAAGTTTCTCTATAATAAACTATTTCACATCAAATCGCTCTGAATTTGCTCACATCTCAACCACCGGGTTTTGTACACTGTTAACATGATTGGATACTTTAACTTAAAGAAAAGTTGGCTTAAAATGGAGCTGATTTACCATTTACTAGTAATTAAACAGACCAATAGTGTGTTTTACATTCTGGTCACTTATTTGAAATTCAGTCAGCTCAAAATTATAAGGCAGCCAGGTTACTTACTTAAAGAATAGAACACGAGAGGGAGTGTGTTATCATGAAATAATAATAATTTAATTATTGGCGATAACACACTCCTCGAGTGTTCTCTTGCTTTTATACAACAGTTAAATAAATAAAGTAATAAATTAATAAACCGGGCCGTGAACGCGGCGTTTAATATGTTTTAATGTTCGCAGTTCCTTCACCAAATTATAGTTCCTTAAAGAGCAGCTTGTTGCTACGTCAGAATAACGAGCTCCGCCCACTCGCTGCACAGCCGGCAGTTCGTTCTCCAGCTCCTCACACTAAATTACCAAACTGTCATCACCACTGAGCAGCTTTTCAGTCGGCAGCTGTGACAGAAGAACAGCTAAACAACCTGGAATCAGCCAGAAATGAACCCAACACCATTCGGCAAACGTGTAGTCTGATCTTCAGAGTCTGACCAAATCAGACTGAGCCATAAAACTGCTGCAATATCAGGTTTAGCTCAGTTTTGTCAATTTTTGCCAGATCAGTATTAATGTTGTTTTGTTCCAGCCAGTCTGTAAAGCATCTTACAGCCCGTTTAGTTTGGCGAATGGTGTTGGGTTTCTAAAACGTTATTCATTATTTGTTGAAACTTTGAGGGAAAACATGCTGAGGAATTATTGGTTAGCACATTTTGTTCCTGAAGGCCGGAACACGGTGGTGCAACCAAACGTCAGACGGTGTTTAGAGGCGTCAGAAATCACTGCACTTCCTTCACAGACTACAGAGAAACAAGAATCCTGTCTTTTAAATTAAATGACACAATGGATTGTGTTCAATGGGACCAAGAACATGAACTCACAAGGTAAACAAAGGTCCATTTTTATTTCAGGTTGACTTTAGAACATTGTGAAGCTTGAAACACTGCCCCCTACAGGCCTTAATATTAAAACACCCCCATCAATGTTAACAGTGTAAAAACTAGAACATTTAATATGACGGCATTTTAGGGCCACTGCTAATAAAAATAAAACAGTGGACTTTGAGAAAAAAGTTGTAGAATTATGATGTTAAAGTGGCATTAATACAGGAAAGGTCGCAATATTGTGGCCAAAGTCTTTGCAGAGGGAAGGCGGCACCTCCTGGTGTTAAATGAGGGGCGGTGAGTTGGTGGAGTTCTACTTTCATATCGATTCACCCATAAAGAAACACTCAGTCTCCCTGTCTCTCCTGCACATCAGCACCAGCCTGTTATTAGTATAAGAACCGACTGAAACGGCTGAGCAGGAAACGGCTGAGTTTATCTAGAATAAAGAGCCAGACGGACTCGGAGGAAACTGTCTGTCTGTGTTGTTGAAGGAGAATCTCAGGCAGGGTCGTCTACACGGCTATCGGGGGCTACATCTCCCCCCATTCAAAGAGGGCATGAAGTTTCACAGACAGTGAGAATGATGATCAAAATGATCCACAGAGAGACAGGAGTGAGTGGAGCTCCGGCGCCAGTACAGCAACCAAGACCCCAACGCGTTATGGCAGCCCCTCTACAGTTAGCCCCCCTACAGGTAGCCCCCTACAGTTAGCCCCCTACAGTTAGCCCACTTTATCCTCCAAATATTACGTCTTTATTCTCGAAATAGTACCAGTTTTTTTCTCGAAAAATAACCAGTTTTTTCGCTAAATATTCTGACTTTTTTCTCGACATATTACCAGTTGTTTCTCGAAATATAACATTTTTCTCAACGTATTGCAACTTTTGTCTAGAAATTTTACGACTTTTTTCTCGAAATATTATGACTTTTTTTCTTGAAATATTGCGACTTTTTTCTCATAATATTACGACTTTATTCTCGAAGTCTGCTATTTTTATTTTTATTAAGTGGCCCTAAAATGCTGTCATACTTTTAAGCACTCTTCTCTTTTTTAAATGAGTTGTTTTGCACTCTGTTTCCACAAAGCCATCCCAGCACATCTGCTGCGCTGTGAGACGGTGAGATTATGAGCCGCGCGCTTCACCGTGTGATCATTCAATCATTAACGTGTTTCTCAGTACTGAGCAGGTCATGAGCCGCACACTCTGCCGGGAAAGTAGTTCTGTCTTCACATGATGTGCCGCTCATCTCAGCACGCTGGGCTTGTTCTGAGCTCTCAGAGTGACTCAACATTCAGGACCATAAAATTCTGCTGCTTTGTCATGAACAGTGGCCTCAAGAAGTATTTGGACAACTGGGTCGTTCTCCATTTGGAGTGGGAATTCAAGTGGATACATTTTCAAAAAATCAGTTTCTTTCATCCCAAAACTAAATAATCTAAATAAGTCCATTAACATCTCCTATTATCAATCGTGCAGAAAGGAGCTTAATTCAAACATATGTTACAGTCACTGGTGTTGTATGAATATGGTGTAACTCCAGTGACGGTGACTCCAGAGACATTCCAGTTAAAACTGAGGATTCTGTGAACTGGCTGCCTCATTGGCTGATCAGGTGACCTTGTGTAACTATAAAAATCAGTAATAAAAATAATAATATGACATTATTTTGACACTATTTTAATTACTCAGCCATTAAAGCACAAAACACCACTGACACATAGAAGTTATGTGCTGCCTGATAAACAAAATTATTAATAAATTAATGAAATATAGTGAGCGAGTGTGACTCGCCTTCTCATGCCTCGAGACGACGAGCCTCGACCCAAAGAAGCAGTTTAATAGAGCTGAAAATACTGTGTTAAAATGTAAAATAAGAGTCCTGAAAACAGCAGAAACCAAAATTTTTTAAATAAAATACATATTTTTAAATGCAGTATAACATTAATGATATAAAAAGTAAACATGAATCTGTTTTATACAAATTCTTTAGTTAAACTTCTTAAAAATATTGGTTTATATTAAAAATAGTTTCTCATATGTTGAAAGTTGGTTTAGTGACCAAAAGTGTAAAAAGTGTTATTTAATCTTAGGCCGACTGTGTGAATGTACATACTGAGTTTTGGAGCTGTGCCTCATATTTTAAGCGTCTTTTTTAAGCTCTGCAACCTTTGTGTTATGGTTTCCCCTCCAAATGGAGAGTGACCGCACTTAAAGGGCCCATATCACAGAAAACAGACTTTTCCTCACTTTTCTGAAATAAAAGTTTGATCTAGTGTGTAAACACAGTTTTAAACAAACACACCACTCACCATTCAAGTCCTTACAGTCCATATATGGAAACTAAGCTGCCAAAAACCTGCTTTGAATTCACTGTTTTTGTGATGTCACAAAAACCAACACATTTCCACATATTCAGCCTGCTGCAGTTTAGCCCCGCCCACTCACACTGAAGCTGTAAGGAGTGTTTCAGTATAGACTGCTTTTCAACTGAACTGTATTATTGACTCTATTGATTGTATTATTGACTGAGGCACAATATAAGGCAGCCAATCAGAACAGAGCTCATTTGCATATATCAGTCTTAAAGGAAAAGTACGAAAAACAGCCAGGCTGGAAAATGTTCACATGAAAAAGGAATGGTGGTAGATGCTAATGTTTTTGGTTCACTCTTAAAAAGATGGTTCTTCAAAGGTTCTTTAGTAAAGACAGTGGTTCTATATAGAACCATGAGCACTCGAAGATCCCTTTGCATGATTAAAGGGTTCTTTGCATGGTGAAATCGTTCTTCAGATTGATGGACCAAAAAGAGTTCCGCCATTGTTACGACGTCAAGCTTGTGACAATAAAAGAACCCTTTTGTGGTGCTTTAAAGAACCATTTTCAAAGAGGTACTATATAGAACCATATGCAACATATTCTCCATCAATCTGAAGAACTATTTCACCAAGCAAAGAACCCTTAAGCATGCAGATGGTTCTTTGAGCGTTCATGGTTCTATATAGGACGCTTGAAGAACCATCTTTTATAAGAGCAAATGTTATGTTTGCTCTAAGTGGGCCTCATGGAAGAGAAGATAAAATATAAGAATACTGTCCTGTGCAATGTTATTAATAAAGGTTCTGTGCAGGAACATTTCTCGTTCATCGAAGTATAAACAGTGTAAATGTTCTCTCAAAGGTACAACAGTGGTTTTAAGGTCTGATTGTGAACCTTAAATAAGTTTTTCCAGGTGAAAAGTTTGTATTTGTACCTTTTCATAACCGAATGTTTTAAAACAGAACAGTAAAATAAAAGCCTGGAGACGAGACGGGGTGTGTGGAGTCAGTACAGCTTAGAACATATTATTTCAGTGGATTATGGTTCAGTTATGTTCCCTGACTAAAGGTACTGAGATGGACCCTTGAGGGTCCCACCCCAGTGACAGGAGGGGTCCTGCCCCAGTGACAGTTTAGTCCCTTTTATTTCTGAGAGTGGATAGTACAAGTTCATTGTGTGAGGAAACAATATGCCACACTAAGTGGTGTTTATTGTAAACAGGCCCCTCTAAGACTCTCATTTGGGCAGAGTGCTTTCTCAGAAGGCGGCTGGTGAGTTTCACATTCTTGTTCCTTTGCAAGTTTCAGCAGGTTTGCATTTTTTTGCTTGTTTGTGCACTTTCTGAGTTCAACAGTGACCACAGTGAACACAGCTCAGCAACAGCGCTGTGAGAAAAGCAGCTCCAACTCTGAGCTTTCCTCCTCTGTGCTAAAAAGAGACGTGTTCGATAATGATGCACTGACTTGTGTACCTGCTTTAAGACTGATTTGTCATACTCTTTTCTGATTTAACACATTCTGTATTATGTATTATCTGTAAGTGAGCACAGAAATATTTCAGCAAATCCTTTTGGGGGCTGCTGTGTACCCCTGCACTCTTAAAAATTTGGTTCTTTAAAGGTTCTTTAGTAAAGACAGTGAACACTAAAATAACCATTTGCATGCTTGAATGGCGGGCGGCACGGTGGCGCAGTGGGTAGCGCTGTCGCCTCACAGCAAGAATGGCCGGGGTCGATTCCTGGCCGGGTGACCAGGGTCATTTCTGTGTGGAGTTTGCCTGTTCTCCCCGTGTCTGCGTGGGTTTCCTCCGGGTACTCCGGTTTCCTCCCACAGTCCAAAGACATGCAGTCAGGCTGATTGGACATGCTAGATTGCCCCTAGGTGTGAGTGTGTGTGTGACTGTGTATGTCTGTCTGTCTGCCCTGCGATGGACTGGCGACCTGTCCAGGGTGTATCCTGCCTTCCGCCCAATGACAGCTGGGATAGGCTCCAGCACCCCACCGCGACCCAGAAGGATAAGCGGTTTAGATGATGGATGGATGTATGTATGCTTGAATGGCTCTGTGCATGGTGAAATTGGACCTCATTCACCAAAATCTTCCTAAGTTTGTTCTTAAACATGTTCTTGAGAAAGGTCCTAAGAGAAAGTCTACGCCAGATTCATGACGTGTTCTTAAAGCGCAGAACTGTTCTCACCTTTGTGCTGAGTGTGTAGATTCTGTTCTTACCTAAGAATAAATCCCAAATAAGAAAACACTGGCGAATGTCAGGATCTTCGTAAAAAATGCGTAAGTGGGTTTTTAAATTTCTTCCTAAGAACAGTTGGTGAATGAGGCCCATTGTTCTTCAGATTGATGGAGAATGTGTTGTATACGGTTCTATGTAGAACCTTTTTGAAAGTGGTTCAATGTAGCAGCAAAAAAGGGTTCTGCTATGCAAATGGTTCTTTGAGTGTTCATGGTTCTATAGAGAACCATTGTCTTCACTAAAGAATCCCTGAAGAACCATCATTTTAAAGAGAGTGTAAAGCTCTGGAATCAAAAACGCATTTATTTATTTATTTATTTATTTGTTTATTTATAATCACACAGAGTTACTAAAAACATGTACAGGGTGATATGGCAGCTATCAGCTGGATATATATATATCGTATACCATGTAAAATACTACCACTAATAAATAAATGTATAATATAATATAATATAATAATATAATAAATGTGTTGTTGATTTTCTAAGTGTAAGTGAGATAACACATCCTCTACAGCAGGCGTGTCAAACTGGGGACTTTCCAGGTCAAAGTGCTGTGGAGATCAGCGTTCTACCCTCATCTAACGCTCTGAATCAGTTCAGGAAGGCTTTGCTGATTAGCTGATGAGCTGAATCAGGTGTGTTTAATGAGGCAGTGCACTGAAGTCTGCAGAGTTTTGGCCCGCGAGGACTGGAGCCTGACACATGTGATCTAGAGAGATCAAACTTCTGCAAATTTTAGAGCACGATTTCTGTTTATTTGCTGAGTTTAACAAAACATGAACTATAAAATGTGCCAAAATCTTTGCATGTAATTTTTTTAATATGTTAAATTCAGTAAATAAACAGTAACTATGCATTAAAGTGTGCAGCAGTGCGTCTCTGTAGAGGATGGGTAACTTATTTACACTTACAAAACCAACAAAACGTGTAATTTGACCAGGAGTGCACAAACTTCTGCACACAACTGCATACTACCATGATTACTACAACACTAATAACAATAAACAGTTAAATATTGCTAATATTTATAATCCAATGCTAATAACAATACTCATTTCAATAATGCTAATAATGACAACAACTAAAGACTTACTATCTCATAAAAATGAGACATCCACAGAATTATATCATATGTCGTTATCATGAAATACTTAGTCATAATTATGAGAAGCAAGTCATTATTACAAGATGCTAAGTAATAAATATGATATTGTAAGTCATAATTATGATAGGATCTCACTCTTATGAGATAGCAAGTCATAATTTTGAGAATATAAGTCAGAATTATGACATGATCTCATTATTGTGACACAATAAGTCAGAATTGTGACATGGTATCTCATTATGACATAGGAAGTCATGAATATGAGATATTAACTCATTATGATAAGATACTTAATATAATTATGAGATAGAATCCGGTTATTATGAGATAGCATGTCAAAATTGAGATTATAATTTATAAATATGAGATCAGATCTCATTATTATGATAAGTCACAATTGACAGCATCTCATTATGAGATAGAAAGTCATAAATATGAGATTTTCACTCATTGTGATAAGATACTAAATGATAATTATGAGATAGTCATAAATATGAGATAAGATCTCATTATTATGATAAAATAGTCATAATTGACAGTATTCATCATCATTCAGTCATAGATATGAGTTATTAACTCAGTAGTGTAAGAAACTAAATCATAATTATGCGATAAGTCGTAATTATGACACAGTATCTCATAATTACGCGATAGGAGGTCGTAACTCGTTATTGTGAGATGCTATGTCATCATAATGGGGAACTTTCATATTATTATGACTTAATAAATAGCTGTTTTTTCCACTGGGTCCTATTAATAATAACCCGTGTTGCATCAGAAAGCGTGCTGTTTCCCCGCGAAAACTCAGACTAGCCCCGCCCACCTGCGTTGGGATTGGCTCCGCTTCGCTTTCTCGAACGGCGTGGTTTCTCTGAGTGTGAGCGACTAGCCAATCCCAGCGCAGCAGCTTCGCCAAGACTAGCCAATCCCAGGCAGACGAGGGCGGGGCTTTCCGGAATACGGGTGCGCCGTTTCGTGTCGAAATTCGGGTGGGAATTAACGTAAAAACAGCGTGCAGTCATGTGGTGAAACGGATGCTGCGTCAAAAACAGCGAGAGGAAACGCTGCGGCGCCGGTCCGGAGGGGTTTATTAGGCCCAAACGACGCGATTATTAATATTACTGACTATATTTGTGATGAGTTTGTGTTCGCAGCTGTGTATCTTGATCCGGCGAGCCGGAAGGCGGTGAGATGTTTTTTTTCGGGCTGTAACTCGCTCCACCCACCCAGTGCTGTGGTCAGCTGACTGAGGCACTTTTGCTTTCTGACTCCAAAGAAAAGAAACAAAGAAGCCGATGGGGCGGAGGGTCCAGAGAGGGATCTGAAGGAGCTCAACATGAGGGTCTGCTTTAACCATGGAGCAGCGGGGGAGAGGACCCAGTGCTGAGGGGGACCCAGAGGACCGAGCAGCGGTTTAGTGTGGAGGTTTTAAAGGTGGTAAAGTGAGGAGGACTGTACTGGTCAGTCATGTCCGAGTCCGAGTCAGCCCTGCCGCTCTGTAAGCGCCTGAGCTATGCGGTGGGACACTTTCTGAACGACCTGTGCGCCTCTATGTGGTTCACCTACCTGCTGGTGTTCTACCACTCGGTGCTGGGCTTTCAGAACTCCTATGCAGGTGTGCTGCTGTTGGTGGGGCAGATAGCTGATGGAGTCTGCACGCCTCTGATTGGATACGAGTCTGATAGGACTGCTGGATGTGGGACGTATGGAAAGAGGAAAACCTGGCATCTGATAGGTGAGTGTGTTTTGACCCTTAAGTAGCCCCTCACTGTAAGGAAATACAGTGTATTATACAGGTTCTCTGTGTTGAGTGTTGCTTTGGGGGACACTTTCACAAAATGTGAGGGTGTGTGTTCACTAAGCCCACCAGAATCTTTTTTTCAGGTATTTTCCATAGATATTGGCCTGATTTGTAATGGGTTTCTGGGAAAATGCAGGATTAAGCACTCATTTTACATAATTTAAGTGTACTTACCAAAGAATTGGCTGAAAATAGTGGAAAAGTGATGATATCTGATAGGGGTGGGAAACACCAAAGGCCCCACGATACGATATTATCACAATACTTAAGTCACAATATGCTGTTATTGCGATTTTAAACATTTTGAGTATTGCGATAATATATATTGTGATTTTTTTACCTTTTTTCAACTGCAAATTATGCACCCCAAGGGAAACTTTGTCCAATATCTGGTTTATCTAATGAGAAAGTTTTCAGCCTGTTCATCTCACTTATGTGATTTTTATCGCAGCAAAATTGGGCTGTGAAGCAGACAGACTGACTAACACTTTCATTAAAACTTTACTTTAAATTTCTGAAAAAATTATAGATACTTGACGTCGATGTATCGATACAATATCGCAGCGCAAAATATTGCGATAATATGCTGTATTGATTTTTTTGACCACCACTGTTATATGAGAGGCCCCAAAATGCCAACGTTTTTTTGTTGACTTTGTGTGCAATAAAAATGACATGGCAGTAACTAATTGCTGGATTGGTTAAAGTAATGACAAATATCATTCTCTTTTATTTTATTTGACTTCAGAGTTGAAAGTGGGCGTAATGAGTACAGTTATCCTACTTTCTCTGTCAGTTTTACAGCATAATTTTAGTAACAGCTTAACTGATCTACACTATTCAAAAGCAAATAGCCCTGGGCACAATCCAGTACTTTAGTGAACACAGTTTTCATGATCAGTTTTTGCCCATAATATTCTGCCGACGGTGTAAAGTAAGACACAGAGGAGGCTGTGATTTCCACCGCAAGCAGTGCTCTTTATTTAACACCATGACCAAAACATACAGAGACACAAACCCACGGGGGAAGTCAGCATAACCAGTGCCCAAAACCACATATAGATCAAAAATAAAATAACACAAATAACACATACACCCAACTAACAGCCTTTTTAGGAGGGCGCGCACCTACCATGAGCCTCCGTAAGCGCTATTGTTGACATGTGAGTAAATAATGAATACAAAACACTCATTACCCATAAAGTTTGCAGCACAAAATAAAATTGTATTACATTTTCTGTTATTATTATTATTGTTGTTGTTGTTATTATTATTATTATTATTATTATGTACACATGCAGTGTACTGTGCTTGAGTTTCACTGTTGATCTGCTGCTCAAACTGTTTGAATGCTAACTGTTGCAGGAGAGTCTTTAATCCGTGTTGCATTTTCAGTACCGTTCAGGTTATTTGTGAACAGAGTTGGGCAGAAAACTTTAAAAAGTAGTGATGGCTGAATATTGAATACTCTGTCCTGAATGTGTTTAGTAACATATCCCATTACAACACTTAAAAAAGTAACATATCCAGAATTCATGTGGAATACATTTAGAATACCTCATCTAGATTTAATTCACATTGTTTCTCTGTAACTGGTTGTCGGCCTTCTGTAATTCTTGACTTATATAAGTTAATGTGTTTCTTGAAAAAATTGACTTTATTTAAGTGCTGTTACAAACTTCTCTGTGTTACTTCAGTCCACTGCTGCTCCCATAATCCCACGGCCGTCTCCTGAAAGAAGCAAACAGTACAACACAGATGCTTATCACCTGTGAACACGTCCGTTGCTGAGAAGACTGTTAAGTTCGAAAATCCCAAAAGAGCTCAGTAACACTGAGATTAATAACTGATCACATTGATTTATCAGTCTACTCAGGCTTTAGCAGAGCTCAGTAACACTGAGATTAACAACTGATCACATTGATTTATCAGTCTACTCAGGCTTTAGCAGAGCTCAGTAACACTGAGATTAATAACTGATCATCACATTGATTTATCAGTCTACTCAGGCTTTAGCAGAGCTCAGTAACACTGAGATTAATAACTGATCATCACGTTGATTTATCAGTCTACTCAGGCTTTAGCAGAGCTCAGTAACACTGAGATTAATAACTGATCATCACGTTGATTTATCAGTCTACTCAGGCTTTAGCAGAGCTCAGTAACACAGATTAATAACTGATCATCACATTGGTTTATCAGTCTACTCAGGCTTTAGCAGAGCTCAGTAACACTGAGATTGGGTGGAAAGGTGGTATATACACTTAAATTTAGCAGGTGAATATTGTAAACATATTTTCCCAAAATGCAGAAAGTAAATGTATTCTGAATAACTACCTTTATGAAATGTAACTTGGATTAAATACAGATATTTATTTTCTGTATTTTGAATGCTGTTTTCCAATACTTGTATTCGGTTCCCCTCATGGCCCAGAAGGATAAGCGGTTTCAGAAAATGTGTGTGTGTGTGTGTGTGTGTGTGTGTGTGTGTGTGTGTGTGTGTGTGTGTGTATTCAGTTCCCTCCATGTTTGTAAGTGTTAGATTTTGACATTTCATCGTAGACCTGCTTATTTTTTTATATTTTAGGTGGCTGAAATGTCACAGCTGCTTTTGACTCAAACAAGTTACAGTTTCACAAGAGATTTTTAGAAGCGCAGACTCGCTCAGGTTTCACAAGCTTCCCCCACACTAACAGCGTTCCACTGATTAGCGAAGACTGCTGTGCTGTTACACAAAGACCCATTAGGGACAGTTTTAACAGACAGAAACCCCCAGAATTTACCACCAGTGGATTTCTGCTATTAATAAATTCAGAAAACTGCATGTACAGTACCCTGGTCAGATGACGCTTTGTTGATTTTCTAAGTGAAAATAAGTTACACATCCTCTACAGAGACACACTTGGGCACATTTAATAGACAATTACTGTTTATCTGCTGAATTTAATGTATTGGGAAAAATAAAATGAAACATGGCCTGTGCAAAAGTTATGGCACATTTTATATTTCCAATATGTTCAACTCGGCAAATAAACAGAAATTGTGCACAATAAATTGCTGAGAAATGTAATATTTAAGTGTGTTCTCTGTAAAAGATGTGCTTATTTTCAATTAGGAAATCAGCAAAACATTGTTTATATATAATAATTTTACAGACTGTGATAAAAGTTGAGGAAATTATCATAATGCTAATTTTGTGTATCGACACATGCCTAAAGATATCCTCTCTGTTCAAAGAAAAACATGTATCTCCATTTTTTCGATTTTCAATTTTCTACATTATTTGAACACAGTTACTGCCTTTTACACTGTGGGAAAATTTCACAACAAATTAACCAACATAAATGCTTCAGATTCGCTTGGAATAAAATCTTTTTACATTAACTTACATCAGAATAAAGAACGCTTTTGCCTTCTCCTGAAAAGCTTGTTTTTCTTTGGACAGTGACGATATGTTTTACTGCACCATCCCTTATATCTTCAGATACGATCTGTGCAGATATTTTTGGTTTTGGTTCCCTTTAGTGTGAGATAGTTTGAGTTATCTTTAAAAGTTCTCTCTGTATGTGCTATTGCGCAGGAACTGTCAGCGTCCTGCTGTCCTTCCCCTTCATCTTTAACCAGTGTTTTGGCTGTGACCCAAGCACTCCACAGTGGGTCGGTCTCATCTACTTCGTCCCCTTCATCATCATCTTCCAGTTTCGGCTGGGCCGCCACCCAGATCTCCCACCTGTCCCTCATTCCTGAGCTGGTGTCGTCTGAGCACGATAAGGTGGAGCTCACAGCGTACAGGTGAGCCCATCTGACCTGCTTCACCTGGTCAGACCCTTACTTCTCAGCACAGAGGAAACGGCTGGATAGGTTAAAATGCTTTTAAAGAGCCCATATTGTACTTTTTTCTTTTTTATCTCTCTGAGGTCCACTTATAATGTTTATGTACCAAAAAGCATCATAATTCATTTTTAACATGACCATCCAACCTCTCCTTATCCCTTAGAATTGAACAGGCTGTTTTTGTTACTGTGCCTTTAAGACTGATATATGTAAATGAGCCCTGTTCTGATTGGCTGCCCTGTATTGTGCCTTGTTCATAAAGCAGTCTAGGCTGAAACACTCTTTATAACAGGGGTGTCAAACTGAACCACTGAAAGGGCCATATTAAAAAATCTCAACAAATCTGAGGGCCAGAGAGCGTTTATATTTTAATACGCCGAAACGTCAACAGCAAAATATAGCCACTAGTAGGAAACCTCCAAATGTTACATGTGATTACTTGATATATTTAGACCACATTAGCTACGGATAACTGTTAAATCTCTTGAAATGTCCCCAGGATGTAGGTCTTTTAAACCTGCCTGTGTGCTCAATCTCTACGCCTGAGTGTTTATGGTATTTACAGTGTTTGTAGTGTCTATGTTGGTTGAACTGCAGCTGAAACACAGCTAGTGTGTTTGGTGATATGACGTGTGCAGTTGGGTGGAAAACTGCTGTCCTGTTTAGTGTAGTGTCAGTGGAAATTACGTTGCAGCTCACTGTGAAATGGGCTAATATTAATAGAAATAATCTCGAGGGCCTGTTTGGATTGTGCCATGGGCCTAATCTGGCCAGCGAGCCTTGTGTTGGACACATGGGCCTTATAACTTCAGTGTGAGAGGGCTGAACAGCCGTGGGCTGAATAGGCAAGTGCATGTAAATGTGTTGGCTTTTGTGACATCACAAAAACTCAAAACGGCATATTTTTGCAGCTTATTGTCCACTCTGTATGGACTGGGGAGGGAATGGATTTTGAAACATAAACAGTGTTTACTAACTAAATCACATTTTTTCTAGATGTGGACGATATAATCTCATACTAAGAAATTTTAACGATACATGATGTGAATGAAATGTGCAGTTGGTCAGTTTTCTTTAAGTGCTGATGATATCCACTGTATACTCAGAAAAGCATACTGTACTGTATTTTGACGTAATTCATCACAATAACGATGAATATGGTCACATTGCACAGCCCAATTTTTTTTTATCTCAAAGAAGTGTTTTTTTCCATGATATGGGCCCTTTAATTGTTCAGACTGTCTCACGAGCTTGACTCTCGTGGTAGTTAACCGTGTGTGTTTTCGTGCAGGTATGCTTTCACAGTGGTAGCCAACATCACAGTGTACGCAGTGGCCTGGATTCTCTTCCATTTCCAGTCCGGAGAGGATCCCTCCGCCACGGATAATCTCGGCCCCATTGACATCCCCGTTTTCAGAGTGAGTGAAAGAATGCGTGTTGTAGAAGCTCAGTAGCTGATTTTTAAGCTTTCATGTTTCATACTGACTCGAGGCATCACACTCAGCAAGTCACAACAAAGTGTCATTGTGAGTGACGACACAGGCGCTCCATTCAGTAGCTCATGCTTTTAGCGTCTGGAGCTCCGCTGTGTGCAGCAGCTTATCTTTAAATAGCTCTGTGAACTTCCTCGTTCTGTTCTGGATTAAATGCCTGAGTTTCACTTCTCCTTTTAACCTTTTGGCATTTGCATTCTGCTTAAAGACATTTCATGTTACGTTATTTTTACAGGTCTTTATGGCTAAACAGCATGTAGTTTTAATCAGCGTTTCATTTATTATTATTATTATTATTAGTATTATTATTATTATTATTGTTGTTATTTTTAAATTTACACTCGCACAGTAAAAGTATGGTTTAAAAATATTGTAATGTGTATCTGTAATGGCCCCTGGTCAGACAACATGTTTTGTTGATTTACTAAGTTAGAATGAGAGAGCACACTTAAACTTGGCATTTTTTGGTGTGAATTTTAGTGCAGTTTTAGTTCTTTTTAACGTTATTGGCTGAGTTTAGATAGATAGATAGATACTTTATTGATCCCAAAGGAAATTTAGCAGCCAGTATCAGTCACACAACACAGCACAGTTACAATAATAAGGGTGATACAATATAAAAAAGAAGAATGTATACAAACATCCTATCTACAATCCTATCTACATATATACAACTACAAATATGCAAAAATATGCAATAAGATCTATCCTGAGATAAAAAGGCAGTGCAGTGATGACTGTACAAGGAGGCGCAGGAAACAGAATGTAATGGCAATACTGAATAAATATGTGCATATATTGGTACTGAAATAAAGTGTCTTGGTGTGGAGTGTCCAGATGTGCAAGATGTGGGATAAGATGTGCAGAAAGTGCAATATGCACAGTATTGGAAGAAAATAAAATATAAAACTTTCTCATTTTATGTTTGTTTCCCTTCAATGTGCTAAATTCAGTAAATAAACTAAACAGAAAAATAAAAAAATAGAAAAATAAAATAAATAAAAATTGTGCATTAAAATGTGCAGATATTTGTTCTCTGTAGAAAAAAAGCAAAGCAATGGCATAGCAATACCATAGCAACCACCTGAGATAGCACAGCAATGTCCTAGCAATACCATAGCAACCACCTGGGATAGCACAGCAATGTCCTAGCAATACCATAGCAACCACCTAGGATAGCACAGCAATATCCTAGCAATACCATAGCAACCACCTGGGATAGCATAGAAATATCCTAGCAATACCATAGCAACCACCTGGGATAGCACAGCAATATCTTAGCAATACCATAGCAACCACCTGGGATAGCACAGCAATATCCTAGCAATACCATAGCAACCACCTGGGATAGCACAGCAATATCTTAGCAATACCATAGCAACCACCTGGGATAGCCCAGCAATGTCCTAGCAATACCATAGCAACCACCTGGGATAGCCCAGCAATGTCCTAGCAATACCATAGCAACCACCTGGGATAGCACAGCAACTGCTTAGCAGTACCATAGCAACCACCTGGGATAGCACCCCAACATCCTAGCAATACCATAGCAACCACCTGGGATAGCACCCCAACATCCTAGCAATACCATAGCAACCACCTGGGATAGCACAGCAACTGCTTAGCAGTACCATAGCAACCACCTGGGATAGCACCCCAACATCCTAGCAATACCATAGCAACCACCTGAGATAGCACAGCAACTGCTTAGCAGTACCATAGCAACCACCTGGGATAGCACCCCAACATCCTAGCAATACCATAGCAACCACCTGGGATAGCCCAGCAATATCCTAGCAATACCATAGCAACCATCTGGGATAGCACCACAACGTCCTAGCAATACCATAGCAACCACCTGGGATAGCCCAGCAATGTCCTAGCAATACCATAGCAACCATCTGGGATAACACCACAACGTCCTAGCAATACCATAGCAACCACTTGGGATAGCACTGCACTGTCCTAGCAATACCCAGTAGCCTAGCAACACCCTAACAACAAAATGGAATACCACAGCAACCTCATAGCAACACCATAGCAACCATCTGGAATTACTATAAACCTGATCAAGTTATCAAACGGTCAGTGCTGCTGCTTTAACGTTTGAAGCTTTATTAGCTGACTTTGTCATGTCAGCTTAGTTTGCTCACAAACTTCCCTTTGTAGTCTAATGTTGGTGTTTCTGAGGAAACAAACACACCCTGCCCAGTTAAATAGCCTTTTAAATATACAATTTTCAAGTGCCCAAGATTTTTGCACAGTATTGCATATAATTCATGTGGTGTCCTTGCTGTGTTGAATACAGGACAAACTCAAGATGGCTTAATAAAAATAATCAGTACATAAATGACAACCAGTCTCCTCCTCTCAGCTCCCTCTCTTCAATCATAGTAGTAGGTTCTAACATGCTGGCTGTGTGCTTTCAGAATCTGAGTCTGATCGTGTTGGCCATCGGAGCGCTCTTCTCCCTGCTCTTCCACCTCGGGACGCGGGAGACCAAAGACGAGCAGAGTGAGGACGAGGACTACGGCTCCAGTGAAGGAGAGCAGCAGCCTCTTCTCAGCCGAAACGCTCCCTCCACCCTTCTGCAGTGGCAGCACTGGCTCAGAGAGCCGTCCTTCTACCAGGTGACTGAGTTTATTATCTCACGCTGGGAGATGAAGGTTAGATGTTTTACAGCAGTGTTACTACAAAGTGTTTTTATTGTCGGCCCACTCGTGACTGTGGCTCTGAATGGCTCTGGTAGTGTTTCCCTTGTTTAAAGCTGTCAGATGTTCATGATTTCAAAGGTCGGACACTGGAGTCAGTGCTGACACTCACTTTGTTATCTAAATCCAATAACAGTGGCGTGGCAGCGTTTTCTGTTGAGTACTCTTTTTTTGGGCCCATATAAAAATCCCCACTGATACAGATTTTAAGGAGTAGTTTAATATGATTTAAGGAGCCCATATCCCACACTTTTCTCACATTTTATTTTCCCCTTGAGGTCGACTCTTAACATTTGTGTGGTTTTATGTACTAAAAAGAGTCATAATGAATTTTTACATGACCATTTTTCAGCCTCTCTTTATCGCTTAGAATTAAACTGGCTGTTTTTGTTACTGTGCCTTTAAGACTGATATATGCAAATAAGATATGTTGTGCTTGGCTGTCCTGTATTGTGCCTCATTCAAAAAGCACTCAGAGCTGAAACACTCCTTATAACTTCAGTGTAACTGGGTGGAGCTAAACTGCTGCAGGCTGAATATGCAGATGTATGTAAATGTAGTTCTTGTGACATCATAGAAACATGGAATTCAAAACGGGCTGTGTTTGCAGCTTAGTTTCCGTATATGGACTGTATGGACTGGAGAGTGAACAGAGTTTTAAAACTTTAGTAATGTGTACATATTACTTCAGACTCCTTTATTTCAAAGAAACATGGGTAGCACTTTATTTTGAATGGTCCTTTGTAGATGATCAATAAACTCTTAGCAGATTATAAGTAACATGTCAACAGCACGTCAGTGAAGTAGCAGTAGTGAAGCATCCGAGTACATTGAAGTAAATATCTTGTAGATGTTCTGTTGATACATTACTTACATTAAGTAGATGTGTTGTTAATATGTTACTTCCATTACACAAAACCTAACCTTACCAACCTCACCCAAAACCTAAACCGGGCCCTAATCCTAACCCTCACCCTGGCCCTAATCCTAACCCTCACCCTGGCCCTAATCCTAACCATAAACTCAACCCAAAACCTAATCCTAACCCTCACCCTGGCCCTAATCCTAACCTCAACTTCAACCCAAAACCTAATCCTAATCCTCACCCTGGCCCCAAGCCTGATCCTAACCTCAGCCTCAACCCAGAACCTAATCCTAACCCTCACCCTGGCCCTAATCCTAACCTTAACCTCAACCCAAAACCTAACCCTCACCCTGGCCCTAACCCTAACCTCAACCCAAAACCTAATCCTATCCCTCACCCTGGCCCTAATCCTAATCCTAACCTCAACCTCAACCCAGAACCCTGATCCTAATCCTCACCCTGGCCCTAATCCTAACTCTAACCTTAACCTCAACCCAAAACCTAATCCTAATCCTCACCCTGGCCCCAAGCCTGATCCTAACCTCAGCCTCAACCCAGAACCTAATCCTAATCCTCACCCTGGCTCTAATCCTAACTCTAACCTTAACCTCAACCCAAAACCCCATCCTCGTATGTTTTTGACATGTTACTGAGAGTCTGTTGAGTGTTTGTTTCATCTAGAAAGGACGACTCAGAATAAAGTGTCGCTGAAACGTTCTCTTGTTGGATGAAGGCGTCTTTCTGAAGGGGCCAAATCAGCGTCCCTCTGGGCCCAACTCTCAGGCCTGTTGTGCAGCACTGTAGAGGGGAAAAAAGTGTACGAGTTTTACAAAGAGAGAGACGCTAAGTCCAAGCAGCACAGTGAGCCAGTGGAAATAGGTTTTTCCATGATACGGACCCTTTAAAAAGACTCCAGTAGCTTTAGTCCATTTGTTTTTCTTCAGCTGCTGTAATCTGCAAACTCAGGCAATTCTGATCAATACAACAAGTAAACAAGTAAACTGTGTGTGTGATCAATACAACAAGTAAACAAGGGCTGAACGTTTTAGGCAACAAATCTAATTGCGATTTAAATTTCAGTTGTTTTCTGTAAATTAAAGTCCAGGAGCCGTATTACAGTCTTAACTCTGAAATCTCTGATCTGTTTAGTCTCCATGACGACTTCGGTACGGATTGAATTTAGGACAGTAGCTATTACAGAACAACATAATCTCCTCATGAACTCCAGATAAGAAAACAGCATCACCCAAACATCCTAACTAGACTAAACCTCCTAAATCCTGTCCTAACTTTAGGATGAACCCCAACAGGGTCCTCACTTCTGTTTAAGGTCCGTTTCTATGGTTTTTAGGCAGCTGTGTCAGCAGCATAGTTCACTACCAGCATAATGAGCTCCATTTATTTCTACTGTAAAACGCTGCTTTCACTGTGAGATGATTTTCTTTTCTAACTCTGCGTTTTAAAGATCTCAGACGCTGCAGACTCGATCTCCACCGCCCCTCTGATCACCTTCGTGTGTTAATGTTGATGATGAAATATTACAGTGATGGTGGTGAATAATGAGGAGACAGAGCTGAACGCGTATCTGTTTATTAGGAGGAGTAACGTTAGCGCGCTCGGCTAAAGCGTTTGGGAAATGGAGACTGAAACTGGAGACGGCGACGCTCTGATAAACAGCAGGGGGCGCTCTCACAGTATTCACATCTTACAGTTTATCACACTTTAGTTTTGTTTGATCTTTTTAACATCAGTAACGGCAGCTGTAACTTACATCTTTAACACTATTTTGATTACGTGTTTACATTTAAGCTGTGTGTGGAAATTTTTGTTGCTAGGCAACAGACATGACAGTTGATCATCGACTTCAATCACGCAAGTTAAGATTTTCTGAATTGAGAAGACGTAAGCTGCATTCCATTCCACAGGGTCCCTAAGCAGTACCGTTATGTTCCCTACACACTTGAACGCTGGATGTCAGATAAGGGAACTGCAGTTGATAAATTCCTTCATTCGGAACGTCCTGCAGTAGAGAGACCTACAATGACTGATGGGTAAACTTTCCTGCAGCTTCCTTTGAAGTGATTCCATTGTTCACTACTCCCTGTGCACTTTGAAGTTCACTTCCATCTGAACGTTTTCACTCCCTGTGGTTTGTAATCAGCCTTAAAAGGTCTGAGTACCCTGTGCAGTGCGCTTTGTAGGGAACTGCGAGGGCGACTGGAATGCACCTAAAGTCCTCATAGGAAAGTCTTTTTCACTTGGTGGTAATTGTTGTGACGCCGCCGGGCAGTTATTTCCAGGCACACGAGACCAGACTTCTGTCTTGTTGGAAGGGGAGAGATCCAAACATTCAAAACTAAAGGTCAAATTACTGTTTCAAAGACACATTTTAAATCACTGATAAAATCAGACCTCCTAAGTATTTTGTAGTGTTTGGCTCAGTTGTGCGCTAAACACATCTTTTTTCGGGTTGTTCTGGCTACTGCACTTGCTCAGATCCCCACAACAGAGGGGTGCTTTTCCCGCTCACGGCGTAACCAGCAATCTGATTGGCTCTTTTTCTTGAAGGGTGGGATTTACTCTTTATACAGACGCCAAGCGTTACAAGCTTTCCCATTTATATTTCAGCGGGTGGCCAGTCTCCTCCTTTATAATTTCTCTGGAGAAGATAAGATGCTGTAAAATGAGGTTCGGTAATACGAATTTGTGAACAATCTTGACCTGTCAGATCTTAATTTAGGACAGGAAGTTTCTGTAATGTGACCTCCGGTCTTTTTTTTGACCAAGAAGACAAAGTATGCCCTTTTTTCTGGCCAGAGTTTTAAATGCTGGGTGTAGTAGAGCAGACTGAAAGTTAGTTCTGGTTGTGATGTCACAACACCTGAGTGCTTAGTTGCTTCTGATTGGTCGAAGTCATCTAGATGTCGTTCATGAGCTCTCTGTGTTATTGGGTTTAATTTACCTCATTTATTAGTGAATTTACTTAAACCTAAAACGTGCTAAGATGACATTGTTGATGGTGTAATCACACTTTCAAACTGTGATTTCAGCAGGTTATATTAGATGCATTTAAAATTTTTTTGTTATTGTAAGCATGGTAGTGTTTTATGTTCGAGTTTATCGGTTCAGCCTTTATTGCTGTAAGGAGAGCAGCTGGTAACTGTCAGCTCAGACCATCTGTAATGAGTGGAGTAAGAAAATTCGACTAAATTAGTCTCATTTCTAGTACAAGCTGAAGTTTTGTTCTTGTTCTCTGTGCTTTTGCCCTTCAGGTCGCTGTCCTTTACATGTGCACCAGACTCATCGTGAATCTGTCACAGACGTACATATCCATGTACCTCATTAACACACTCCTACTGCCAAAGGTAAAACCACCACTCACACGACTACCTGACCTATCCATGCTCCTCCCACAAAAGTGTTCTCCACTGAACCTAATGAGACCCTGTACTGAACAACAAAATACCTGCAGCACTGTGGAAAAGTCAGAGACCACCGTTCGTTTATTTAATTTGAAGTCAAAATGGTCATTAAGTACAAGTTATTCATTTTTCAACATCAGGAAAAATAGAAAACCGAAAATCACACAGAAGCCTCAACACCTAAATATATTTCTTTCAGTGTTCAGTGAGTCACTCTTTACCTTTATTACAGCTTCCATTCTTTTCCATTCAGGAGACTCACTCTCAGTTTCTCAAAGAAATCTGCGGGGATATTTTTCTACACCCTTGTTGAGATGTAAACCACGTCATTCAGAGTATTCTGATGTCTAATAATGCATTGTAATGAGAAACTTACTGGCCCAGATGGTGATGGGAACCAGCAGTCATTATATCTATATAATCTATATATCTATATATATCTCAAAAACATTTAATGTACCAAACCACATCTAAAACCACCAGAACCTGCACAGTTTTTAAGGAATGTTGATGATGGTAAAATAATAATAAATCTGAAAAAATATTTTTTGGGGGTCTATTTTGCCTCACAGCACCCTGCATGTATCCCTCCACCGTGAATGTGTTTTATAAAAAAGGAAAACTTTATCTTTTACTAGCTTTTAGTAGGGCTGGGCGATAAAACGATAACGATAATTAAATATAACTTTTCCTCGATAGAGCGATACGACATGTTCGATAAATGTTCGATATAATACACCATTCTCACACTTCCACGTTCAGCGAAAGCCTTGGTGGCGTTTTCTACTGCAAGGAAAGCGGCACTACTGTGCTGTCGCCAGGAGAGGGCGCACTTCCGAGTTTTTCTACATGATTAGTGAGGGAGGGGGCCACGAGTAAGATGAGTCTTTAGCAACCACTGAAACGCAGAGTTATACATTCCCTGTTTGAGTGGAGCGACAGGCGATCTGCTGTCCTGTGACTGAGTGTGAGTGACGAGGTCAGTGATGTAACTATACTGTCCTACAGTGAACTCACCTCTTTCTGTACATCCTAACCAGCTTTAGCAGTGATAAATCACAATCCTCACAACTAAAGCGCTGTTGCAGCGCTCAGACAGTCATATTGTAACGTTTGAGGCATGGAGGCGGGATGCAAATGCGAGTTTTTATTGAAATGAGAGTCCATAATGAAAACAAAACAAAACCAAACTACAAGCGCAACAAGCAAACAAGAGACAAGATTACATTCACAATGCAAGACGAAGACTGAACAAACACAGGGGTATAAATACACAGAGGGGAAATGAGACACACCTGGGACTAATGAGGGGCGGAGCTACAAGCAGGTGGAACAGATAACAAGGGGGCAGGACCAAGGAGGAGACACAGAGCAACAACAAAAGCACATGGTACAAGAAAACAAAAGACACATGGCTACAACAGAGGGGAAAGAAACAGACACTCAGAGGGAGAAAAGAAGGAATCCGTGACACATATTTTAGTATTAGTGCATTCCCAAGCAACGAAAGTGAAAGAAGTGGGTTCATGTAAATTACAGCCCTGATTTAAACGAAAGTAAACTGAGGAAGCTGTGAGGCATTGGAGAGCGGGAGAGCGCTAGCTTTCCAGGCTAGCTGTTTTTAGCAGCTGGCTAACTTGAAGCAGCGCTCCGTCACTCGCACAACACGGAGAACTGATGATACTGTAGATCAAACACGACACAAAAGCACCTCTTTCAGTTTAAACGTACCTAAAAGGAGGACTCTGTTTGTCTGGTGTGGATATTTTGCGGTTCACCACTTAAACTACTACAACTGAATATCCAGTTGTCGCTGGCTGGTGTCTGAATACTGTGATGTCATGTGTAGCGGGGTAGCCGAGCGCTCGGCACCAGCTAAAATAATCTGTTTTCTTTCTTAAATTATGACTGTTACAAAATAGCCGTGCTTTTCCAGCTGGTAAAAACAGCTCAGCAGACACTCTGTCCCACTCTCCCATGACAGATCTGTGAAATGTTCCCCTGTTTGGTGAGTGTTTGTCGAGTTCCGACCATAAAGGATAGTTTAAAACAGCAATTAACCACCCAGGACCAAAAATCAGCCTTCAAACTTGAAAGAAATAATGATTTGATATTTATCGCGGTATGTATCGATATTGAACAATATAAATTTTGTTTATCGTGATAACATTTTTGGCCATATCGCCCAGCTCTAGCTTTTAGATGTTTGGTTCCTATCACCATTCACTGTGAACAGTTGAATGACTTTGTATCTTTACACTTTTAATTATGCTGAAAGTTTGAAAAGTCCAATCCAAATGCAGTTCCCCTGTCTATTAGATGGTGGTCTGCCAGGTCTTGCATGGTTGTTAGGGGTCCTGTTTTCTCTTAATAACTTTTTTTTCGTTGGCTTTCTCGTTCCTTATGCAGGTAGATTATCTTATATCTAATCTCTTCAGAAATACCTCTTGGAAAATGAACAGTTTGTACCTAATTGATGTTTTGTATGGCACTAAATGAAGGGTGGTCTCTGACTTTTTCTCAATACTTTACTTTTAGAGAGTGCCGTTAATTTTGTCATTTATAATTTAGAGAGTGCTATTAATATTATAATTTAATTTTAAATGATATTAATTGTCTATGTTTGTAAGAGATCACACTGTTAGGATGGATCAGGTGTAGTTTTTGTTGTGTAATCAAGTTAACGTTAGCAGGCAGCACAGTGAAGGTCAGTAGTGCAGCACTTTAAAGTCAAGGCTGTAGCCTGTTCAACAGTAGTTATGAAGAGAGCACATCTGTGGGCAGAGGCTGGACAGATCGGTCCACACCGTTTGCCACATGGTCTTGTTTATATGGTGCAATGTTGTCATTGTGATTTATGGTTTAACTCTGCCAGTCTGTCGAGTGTAACTGTTCCTCTCTCTCATGCAGAAGTACATCGCTACTATACCGCTGGTGATGTACGTCAGTGGCTTTGTTTCCTCATTCATCATGAAACCCTTCAGCAAACTAATAGGGAAATGTGTAAGTGTTGAAACAAGTTTCTCTCATCTTACCTTACGCAGACGGGTAGCCAGTGACTCAGCAGCTTCAACTTCACTCCTAACACTGAAGAGCTGAGTTGGAGCTATGTTGACGCCTCTTGATCTCTCCAGAGCTCTTGGAGTCATTGTCTTCAAGAGTAACTACTTCTGTGCAGTGAATAGAAACAAAAGCACTTAAAAAATCTCTGTGTGTGGATTTAAGAATATGTTTTACCATTAAACCTTAATGGCCAAGCCCTGTTCAGAAAAGATGATTTCATTAGCAGTGATTTTAACACAGTAAAAGTTAGGATCAACACAAAACCGTCATTTTCTGAAGTATCACAGTGCTCGATACCAAAATGATCCTATGGCAGAAAATTAAGGTAACACTTTACTGTAGGGTGCTGTTCATAAGGCTACATGACACCTACATAAGGTTGTCATTACAACTGACATTACCCTACATAACTGTTTATAAATGCTTATTACAACAGTCGTCATTCGTCATAAGGGCTACTTTAGCTGACTTTGATCAAAATTGGCAAATGTAACCTTTATAGTGAATGACGCTTATTGGAACAAGCATTTATAAACAGTTATGTAGGGTTATGTCAGTTGTCATGACAAGCTTATGCAGGTGTCATGTTATAAACAGCACCCTACAGTAAAGTGTTACCATAATCAGATTACAAAATCAAATTAAAATAACCATATTATAGTTAATTAATGAAATTAAGCTTAATTAACATCACTGATACACACTATATGGACGAAAGTATTGGGACATCTACACATCACACCCACAGGAGCTTTTATGCATCCCATTCTAAATCCATAGGCATTAATATGGAGTTGGTCCCTCTTTGCAGCTGTAACAGCTTCCACTCTTCTGGGAAGCTTTCCACAAGATTTTGAAGTGTGTCTGCAGGAATTTTTGCCCATTTATCCAGAAGAGCATTTGTGAGGTCAAACACTGATGTTGGACGAGAGGGTCTGGCTCCCAAACTCCATTCTAGTTCATCCCAAAGGTGTTTGATGGGGTTGAGGTCAGGGCTCTGTGAGGGCCAGTCAAGTTCTTCCACACCAAACTCACCCAGCCATGACTTTATGGAGCTGCTTTGTGCACTGGGACTCAGTTTTTGTGCTGATGTTGATGCCAGAGGAGGTTTGGAGCTCTGTAGTTATTGATCAGCAGAGTGTTGGAGACTTTTATGCTCTGTGCTCCTCAGCACTCGGCGACCTGCTCTGTAACTTTACATGGTCTGACACTTCGTGGCTGAGTTGCTGTGGTTCTTAAAACGCTTCTGCTTTTTAATAATACCACTCACAGTGTCACAGAGTGACAGAAACTAAACTTAAATCACTCCAACGAGCTAAAAATTACATCTTAACAAATGTTTCAGTTCTGGCGAGTGATGCTCTGATGGCTGGTTTCTCCTGTGTGGTGATACATAGGGGTCCAAAAGTCTGAGAGCACCTGTGAGAATGCTCTATTTTGCCTTCCTTTCAACTTTAATACAAATATTTTCATTACAAATTCTGTTCTCAGCACAACAATGAGTGAAAACTAGAATTGCTGAAATTTTAACATGAATTTCAGAATTTCTTAATATTTGATAGGCCTTTCCTTTGCTTTAATGACTGTGCACTTAAGCTGGCACAGACTTCTTAAGTTTGTATAAAAGCCTCTGATCAGTTGATCAAATCCACCTGAGAGTTGTCTGAAAATGAGCTTCACTGGAAGGAATGAGGATAAAAAAGACCTTTTGGGTCAATTTTGCATATTTGCATATGTTTGATGATCCAGAAATACTAAGAATTTTAGAATTTTGAATATTTCTTCTTCATTTTACTCATCATTGTATTTCTTTGTTTTGCATTTTTAAAATTGCAACATTCCAAGTTTAATTAAAAGCATCCCAGATTTTCAGTGTGTATCTGTTTTGTCTGTGTACAGCAGTGCATGACGACGAATTTCACACAAATTAAAAAATATATTACTATAACTTTTATTTTCTAGCTGCATTTTTATTGTATTTTTTCTTTTTAATTTATGCTTTTATTTTGTGCGTTTTAACTGTAATTACTAATACGTTCCTTTTCTGCTGATTATTTTTTGTTTTTATTCTGTTCTTCCTCTGTTGTTTGTACTTTGTATTGTACTTTAAGCTGCATTTTTAATATATGAAAAGTGCCATATAAACAAACATTATTATTATTATTATTATTATTATTGTTATTATTATTATTGTTATTATCATTATTATCAGTACAGCACCATTCACAATCTGATCACATCATTTAGCAAGCACAGTAAAGCAAAAAGAGAAAAGGAAATCTGAGTTTATCAGAATTATTGATATTAACTGGTCAGAGTTTTTTGGGGAAACTGTATTGGACTGGACTCTCCATATCCTGGAATTAAATGACCATATAGCTCCAAAACTGGGGGAAATGTATTGATGCAGGTAATCAGTATGGGCTGAGACCTGTGAGCATGTTTCATTATTATCATTGTCCACGAGTTTAATACCAGTCTTAACCGTATTGTGTACTGTATGCGTCTCTTTTTGGTCCAGATGACCTATTTCATGGGTCTGGTGCTGATCCTGGTGTTCTCCTACTGGGTTCTTCTGGACACTCATATGGGCGACGGTGTGTATGGAGCAGCAGTGCTACTGGGGGCGGGGTCAGCCACTATCTTGGTCATGTCACTCGCCATGACAGCAGATCTGATAGGAGATCAGACAGTAAGTGTCCTTAATAGGCTCATATTGTAGAAAACCAACATTTTTTGCAAATAAGAATTTTAAAATGTAACATTCACTGCCTGGTTCATATAGACCAATTAATATATAGAACAATGCACACGTTTACATACGTTTTAGCCCCGCCCATTCTCACTGAAGTGATGTGAAACGTTGTTCCTGCAGTCTGTAGTTACTGGAATGAGAGATGTGGGAAAATGATTAACCGTTGTGCTGTTCCTGGCTGTCAGAGAGCAAACTGATCATTACAGCCTTTCAAAGGATCCACACATCCGAAGTCCATGAGGATTTCAGGTCATCTTGGACTTTTTTAATGGGGCACCATTAAAACAGACCCATCAATCGGAACAGAGCTTGTTTACAGAAAATGTGAACTCATTCAAAAGTGCTTTCAGTTCACGAAACCACACAAACAGGGTTTAATGCAGGGGTCACAGCCTAAATGTTCAGAAGAGCCATTTTGTCCTTTCAACAAAAAGCAAACCACCTTGGGAGCCACAACATGTTATGTCCATTTTACCATCTGTAAATATGTCTCAGCATGTGCTGATGTGGTAGTATAGGCAAAAAAAAATGTAAACGAAAATGACTGCTGTAAGCTTTAGCTCAGCTATAGCTGCTTTTCTCACATCTCTGGCAGGAAACCTTACGTCAAAAACAGAACAGTTTCTTGTAAAATGTCTCTCAATGTTCGACTTTTTATGAGGCTGAAGTCGCTTCTCATTCACCAGCTTCTTGTTCGAATTTTCCCGTTCTACCACAGTGGAACTGGAAAATTCAAACGAGAAGCAGCTTCACGACTTTTTAGTGTTTGTCAGTTTCTCGTTGCAGATTAATTGTATCAGGAAACCAGCTGGAGTGATTATAAATGTAAATAAGTCAGTTGGTCTCTAAATTATCAATGTTCGTCTTAAATCTCTCTTTGCCATTTTGTTAGCTACTAGCTAGGCAAGATTGTTGTCTTTGTTGCCAATCTTCAGGGTTAAAAGGTGAATTAGCAGTTCTACATTAACTCCAGCATTTAAGACCATTTATTGTTAAACTGTGTTGAACGACCAGCAGAGCTTATTTTATTTTTTCTTAAAAAAATTCTGCTGTGAAGTCTCATGGTGCCGACCGCTGGTTTAGCGCAAAAAAATAAAATGCAAGAAAATTGTAAAACATTACCGCTGTAACAAAATCATTTGTGAATGAATGGAGAACTAAAAGCACAAAAAGTACATATCTAATATTTAATTTTACATTGTGCCTTTTGTTATACATACAAAGTCGTGTGCTTTAGCTGTCTCTTGCCCTTTATTATATTTGGGTTTTGTTATCTTAATACCTTTTCTTAATTAGTAAATGACCTCATAATGTGACCAATCTGTGCACACGTTTGAGCACACCTGGTCAAATGACATGTTTTGTTGATTTTCTAAGTGAAAATAAGTGAATACATCCTCTACAGTGAACACTAAATATGGCATTTTTCTGCAACGTTTAGTGAAAAATGTGTTTGTTTATGAAACATTTTATGCAAAATATATTTATATAACATATAAAATGTGGCAACTTTTACACAGGCCTCATTTTATTTTTTCTCCCATTATGATAAATTCAACAAATACACAGTAGTTGTGTGTTAAAATGTGCAGAAGTGTGTCTCTGTAGAGGATGTGTAACTTATTTACACTTAGAAAATCAACAAAACGTGATCTGACCAGAGCACTTACACTCTGTCATATGACCGTGACTGTAACTTTTTGGAGCAGTCCAGCTCCTGTATTAGCAGAAGTAAAAACTCTGCTTTCATTGAAACAATATTTCAAAAGTCATGTGGTTAGCTGACTGTGGGGTGTTTGTGTTCCTCAAAACTTTTCTCTGTTCTCTGACAGCAAAGCGGGGCGTTTGTGTACGGAGCTATGAGTTTCACTGACAAAGTAGCCAACGGACTTGGGGTCATAATCATTCAGGGCCTGCATCCATGCCAGTAAGTGTAACTGATAATATTTTAATCCAGTATGAATCTGCAGTGTGTGTAGTTTTACAGTCTGACAGTAATAATTGTGGAGCGATTTTAATCCAGTATGAATCTGCAGTGTGTGTAGTTTACACAGTCTGACAGTAATAATTGTGGAGTGATTTTAATCCAGTATGAATCTGCAGTGTGTGTAGTTTTACAGTCTGACAGTAATAATTGTGGAGTGATTTTAATCCAGTATGAATCTGCAGTGTGTGTAGTTTTACAGTCTGACTGAAATAATTGTGGAGTGATTTTAATCCAGTATGAATCTGCAGTGTGTGTAGTTTTACAGTCTGACTGTAATAATTGTGGAGTGATTTTAATCCAGTATGAATCTGCAGTGTGTGTAGTTTTACAGTCTGACGGTAATAATTGTGGAGTGATTTTAATCCAGTATGAATCTGCAGTGTGTGCGCTGGCTGTAGTAATTGTGGAGTAATACTGGTTATTTTTATTGTAAACAGTTGAATCTGTATTTCTCCGCAGTACTCAGGCCTGCTGTCCTGCGTGCGTGTGGTATTATCACTATGTGATGGTGATTGTAACTGGTGGAGTGGCTGTTGTAGCAGCACTCTGCCTTTGCACTATTCTCATCTGGCCTATCAAGATCATCCGCCGTGAGTAAACCTTCTTTATCTTTATCTTTATGTCCACTGTTATTAATAAAGGTTCTGTTCAGGTACATTTTTCATTCATCAAGGTACAAACAGTGTAAATGTTCCCTCAAAGGTGCAACAGTGGTTTTAAGGTCTGATTGTGAACCTTAAATAAGTTTTTCCAGGTGAAAAGTTCGTATTTGTACCTTTTCATAACCGAATGCTTTAAAACAGAACAGTAAAATAAAGTCCTGGAGACGAGACGGGGTGTGTGGAGTCAGTACAGCTTAGAACATATCATTTCAGTGGATTATGGTTCAGTTATGTTCCCTGACTAAAGGTACTGAGATGCCCAGTGACAAGAGGGGTACCTTTTTTCTGAGAGTGTATGTCTCTGTGATGTACTTTTCACCCCTTAAAACATGAGTACAAGGTCAACAATTTTCCCCAAATATTACAGGTGTACTTTTTACAACACTACAACTGACATCATTTAATTTAAGGTGGTCTCATTAAGATATTTTGTGTACAAATACCACAATGTGTTTAAAATGCCTGTTAATCTGATTCTACACCGTCAATGTCATTGTCACTATAAAACTTTATAACTTAATTTTTTAATATTAATATTAAGCTTATATTTGTACACATCGAGCTGCTGAAGTTGAACATTGCTAACTCTTGATATAACTGCTCCTGACAAGCGGGCTGTTCTGTGTTGCAGTGTCTGTGGAGAGACAGGTAAACGGGTCTGTTAGTAATCACACTGATGGTGAGCTTCATCGGCCTCACGGGTTTCACTTTGATCAGTCCGTAATCACAGTTCACTGAGCTCAACCAAAACTGCACATCATCAAAAAGAAATTTAAGACATGCTCTCAAAAATAAAGGTGCCAAAACTGTTTTTTTGAGCGATGCCACCGAAGAACCACTTTTGGTTCCTTAAAGAAGCCTTTCAGTGGACGGTTCTTTTAAAGAACAGTTTTTCTAAATGAGGTGTTGGTTATTCTCACAAACATGACAAATGTTGGAACCCAGCTGGGAAAATGACTAAAACCTGATATTTTCTCTCTTTTTTTTTTTTTTGAATATACAAACAGGCAAACCTGGCTAAATAATTAAATATACACCTGAATGATTCAGTTGATTTTAAATTTATTTTTAGTAATATTTTCCAATTTAGTTCCAAATTCTCATCACTGCAGCACAGTAAGGTCTAAAGATAAATCTGTCAATGTTTTTTTTTATGTTTTTTTTCGCAGCATTTCTCTATTATTGTAAGTATTTGAAAGCTAATTTGAAAACTAAAACATATATATTCATCAACATATAATATTTAACAGTTTTATCTCAGTACTGCAACAAACTTACAGCTATTGAGATTTTTCTTTTACTTGTGCCACAAAACATTTTGCTGTTTTTGTTCACTTCCTTACAGTTTACAAGGGAAACATTTAGATTTAACAGTTAAAATAATGCAGTCATTTTTTCTGGTTAAAAAAGAAAAAATTGATAAATCTGGGTAATGATAAACACATGTGGACACATTGCGGTGATGAGAATTAAAATGGAAAACGGCAAATAATTTTAAAGAGAAAAAGGAACTGATGATTACGACATTTAGTCATATTTACGGGCATGCTTTGAGGCAGTTTTGTGAGAATGACCTTTAAAGACCCACCACATAATGTAAAGGTCAAATGGTTTTCCAGCCATACGTCCGAGCCAAGATCCTTTATTTTTAAGAGTGTTGATGTCTGTTTATGTATCGATCCATGGAGGGAGCCTTATGAGCAGACGCCCTTCAGAACTCAGAAACCTCACACGCATGATTGAACCTGCCACTCTGTCACTGATTATCAGCTCACAGTCTGTGTGATATCAGGGGCTCCTAATCAGCCGTGAGTATTGTTTGCGGGGTTGGATTGATATCCTCTGTTCCCTGTGTGTGTGAACAGGCCTGGCTGTGATGAACGGCCTGATGTCGTCAGACGAAGAGGATTCAGAAAACAGCAGTGATTCGGGGGTCATCAACTGAACTCTGAGGAGGGTCCACTGCAAGGGGGGCGTAAGAAGTTTGCACATGCTGAACGAGATACATCATTTCCTGCAATACAAACTGCAGGCGTTTAAGTCTTTGAAGAGAAATTAACATATCCAAGCTCCGCCCACAAATGGGTAACAACTGTTGCTAGGTTGGACAAGCTTTACACAGTTTATTATAGAGCTTTATAGACTTTTATTATGGAGCTTTATAAAGCTATTCATTCAGCCTAATGAGAAACTGTAGAACAGACTCAGTTTATATCACAATATCTACATTTAGAGTCAGTTATTCATTCAGACTAATGAGAAACTGTAGAACAGACTCAGTTTATATCACAATACCTACATTTAGAGTCGATTATTCATTCAGCCTAATGAGAAACTATAGAACAGACTCAGTTTATATCACAATACCTACATTTAGAGTCAGTTAACACAACTCCGTGTTTGTAAAATACCTAAATGTAGAGTGTTATTAATTTCAAATTATGTTTATTTTGTATGCATGTAAAGGTCACATCAAACAAAACTCACCACTTTTGTCAGATTTTTGCCAATTTTCTGTAAAACTGTCCAACTTGGCAACAGTTGCTATGAAAGAATGCGTTTGTGGGCGGAGCATAGGTTGATCAGTTGAGCCTCTGGTAGGCGAAGGTTACTGATCATATCAGCGCACATTCATAGTTGTTCATCTCTTTTCATGTTTGTAAATACAATGGCTGCCCAGGTGGGCATTTCACAAAGCAGGATTTCTTAGTTAGCCAGATAACTTAAGCCTGGATAGTAACTTATCTGGCTAAATTGAGAAATCCTGCTTTGTAAAAATCCTCCCACTTTTCATCTCTGCTGAGTTTTATCTCAGTTATTGTAGACTCAGCCTTTTGTACAGTGACTTTGTTGTTTATAAGGCATTTTTGTTGTTAATGAATAATACAGGTTTGAATTACAGAGGGACCAGTGTCCCTGGCATTTTTCATGTTTGTGTATTCATAAAGGAATGGTTTATCTGATTTACCCAGTTTTCCACTTAACCCAGATGTAAACATGCTAGCGTCCAAATTTGACATCTTTAGTTCATCATCGGAGCAATCAGGCTAACATTGCTAACACTAGAAGTCAATAGTCACCCAAACCTTTTCTGTAAATACATCCCCATAATTTCTCTCAGCCCGCTCAAACTGGTCTTCATTAAGGTCACACAGACTCTTCAGTGTGGTTTAAGGCACAATATGACTTGCTGTGAAGTCTATAAATAAACAAAACCTCATCGTGTAGCTGATCGCTGCATTTTTGACCACAGGTGTTGTGCCAAATTTACCCTTCCGCCTATCGTGCAGGCATATGAATGCCATGTTCAGGATTTCTGTTCTTTCTATTTCTAAACGTATAACTTGAGTTTGAAAATTCAGCATTAACAGTTATTTTTAAAAAGAAAGAACAGAAATCACAACCAAAATCTGTATGACTTCTGTGTGCGCGAAGACTCAGCAATACACCCGTTGTCTGAAGTGGCTGCCTGCTGTGTTCAACTACACGGTGAAGTTTTGTAAGTCATACTGTGTCGTAAACCACACCTACAAGTCTGCACCACCTTAATAAAGACCTGGTTGTGTTTTGAGAGAATTTTGTGGATGGTATTTACAGAAAAGATTTTGGTGACTATTGACTTGTAGTGTTTGTTAGCAACACTAGCACATTAGCTCCAGCACTAAATTTAAGAAGCAAAATTTGGACACCAAACATTTCTTGGCTGATCAGCTACATCTAGGGTAAGAGGAAAGCAGTGTAAATTCAGTTTTTGGCTGAACTGTTCCTTTAAGTGCTTTAAATGCAGTTTACCAGCATCTGAATTTGACTGACAGTCACTAGATTCTACATTAGATACACTATTTTATCCTACATTGTTCTCTGCAGTTCTGTAAGTGTGAACAGATCCATTTAGCAGACATTCAGTGACGACAGAGTAAAACTCTTCAGTTATAAAGGGATCAGATACTCACTGAGGGAGCAGCTGTTATACACTGTTATCTTTTTTTTAAGGTGTTCAGATTCAAATGTTTATGGAGGAATGTGCATATTTGTTTAATGCTTTAACCGTTTTCGTTCGTCATAAGGGATTATTCTTTATTCCATGTTTTTTATTCTTTATTTCATGGGGAACACCGCTTGATTAAAGGGGGATATTATAGATTTTCCCGAATTTCTGCATAATTAAATGTTTAAGATGTAAACAGAGTGGTTTGATGTGAAATTCTCTGTTCTACAGAAACTTACTGAGTCAGAATTGTTCACAGTGGTGGTGATAGGAACCAGACGTCCACCTCTAAAAGCTCCCTCACAGAAAGTTACTACATGAAATGGTTGTGGATTCACTGCCTGAAGACTGACTTATGATAAAGTTCTGAGCAGATTTTGAACTAAAACATAGTTTTTGGAGGATGGGTAGATTCAGGGTGTCAGATTTTCCACTATTTTCCCATCATCAGCATTCCATATAAAACATAGCATTCCACTCAGAAGACTCGTGTAGGTTCACTGGTGGTTTTGGATAGTAAATAAAATGTCTATATCTGTGTTGTAGTCATGGTGACCCCTGGTTCCTATCACCACCACTGTAAAGACATCTGAGTCTCTACAATCAACAATTTCACACCAAACCACTCTGAATGACTCTGGTTACATTCCAAAGATGAAATTATGTCGAAATTTTGAAAAATAGGTGGAATTCCCCTATACATGGAGATGGACACAACTTGATTGAGATAAAGGGAGTCTGACCTTTTGTTTTCAGGGAAAAATAAATGATGTCATAGGTCTGATGAGGGACATGGAGCCTGTGTTCATTCCACTGTGTGTATGATTCGCTACTATGAGATTATGAGAAGTACTGAGACCACTTGTGAGAGATTTTAAGAGCTCTTTAAGCTGTTAGGGAAATCAGCACCGAGAAGCTAAGGAAGTTTTAAATGTCCAATTTCATGTTTAAATGTATGATTTTTAATGATTATATTAAAGTCCAGTAAATGAAAATATGTGAACAAATCTTTGGATGTTTCTTTACTGAGTGAATCGAGAGCTGTTTCAGTTTCATAATGAATACTATATCATCAAAAAGCTTGGCCATGTTATCCAGCACTCTCCTAGTTTCACCATCTACCTGCTTCAAAAAAGTGGTTCTTCAAGGGTTCTTTAGTTAATCACAGCCTGGAATCATATCCTGCTGGTCCACCTGGAGGTTTTGTTGCGCATGGCCTTAGGCCAGGGGTGGGGAACTCCGGGCCTGCAGGGCCAGATTCCTGCACAGTTTGGTGATTTTCCTGCTTGAGCCGCTTGAATCAACTCATCAGCTGGTTGTCATGTTTGGTTGGTGTGCCAGAGCAGGAAAACCACCAACCTGAGAATTCCCCATCCCTCTTACGCCATGAGAGTGTTTATTAGTTTATAAACAGGGGAAATTCTCAAAATAATGTTAACTATTTAGTAGGTTTTAAACTCCATGTGCTGTGTTAAGGTTTTAAGGGGGTTTTGTTAGTGAAGACCATGATTATGTATAGAACCATGACAACTCAAAGAACCAGCCAAATGCTTAAACGGTTCTGTCTTGTATATAGTTTTTTTACTGTCTATGTCATGTAAATAGCTTCGTTAGCAAGCGGTCCAGACTGAAATCCCCCCTATAACCACAGGATAAATGGGCGGGGCTGAAAGGCTGAGTGGGTGTGCATTAAGGGTGTAATGATTCTCCAAATCTACGGTTCAGGAATAAGAAAAACTGGGTAAAAAAATTTGTGCCACAATTTGGAACACTAAAGAGAAGAACATGGTACACCACTGGCCCTAACTTTATAAAGAATAATAATCTTGTGATTAACATGTTATATTGGTAAATGTGAAATGAAAAAAGAGGAATGTACTGAGGGCTCAACAGGCTGTGGCAGCAGGTTGGGATTGGGGTGTTGGGGGCGGTTCTTGGTTTTGGTCTTGGTTTTAGAATCATTATACTGTGTATATTGAACGTATATGTAGTGTTTTCTGTAATGTCACAAAAACACACACACACACACACACACCTTCTAAACCACTCATCCTTCTGGGTTGCGGGACTAGCTGGAGCCTATCCCAGCAGTCATTGGTTGGAAGGCGGGATACAGCCTGGACAGGTCATGTCACAAAAACATTCATTTCAAATTGGGCTGATTCTTGCAGCTTTGCTGCTGGATGGACTGGAGATTGAATATATATTGAAAATGTAACAATGTTTACATCAATACTGCATCAAACCCTTTAATCAAATGTACATTTATTACTACATCAAACAAGAAAAAAGTGTGGCAAATTTGTTTTTCCACAATTTGGGCCCTTTAACTCTGTATGCAGTACATAAGCAGATGACCTCTGGTGGTTGAACATGGTAGTGCAGCACATGGTTTACTTGCAGGAGGCTCAGAGTGCTATTTCACACAATAGTGTGCACAGTAACATTCAAAGTTGTTTGATAAACAGTTTATTTCATGAATCCATATATTCACAGCTGATTCTCTTCTGCTATTTACATTAAAAGCTGTTTATGTTAAAATCATGTTAAATTACAGCTCCGTTCTCAAATTACATTCATTTTTGGGACACTGTGTTCAGAGCATCTAAGTCAATTAGCAGAGCCATTATTTGTACCTTTGACACGACACGAAGTAACCAAAAGAGAACATTTTTTTCTGTTTTATACTTTAATAAATGTTTCTATGTAGGTAATTAAAGAGCCAACAAGGTTCCAATCATCTGAAAAGGTTATAGGAATGTAAAAAAGAAAGTATTTATTTCTATAAAAATGTTTTCCAGCAATTTAATTCAGCTGTTAGACTTCCCTTATTTATATTTACATCATAGAAAATCATCATGGAACACAGTTTTGCTAACAGTGTATATTTGTGTCTGAACCAACCTCAACAACTTTAATACATCCTGAACATCCAAGTTATTCAGTGGAACACTTTAAAATGATTCATGTACATCTCAGTCACTGACCTTTACTGTGTGTCCAAACGTATCCAGACACTCTTGTAATTAGTGAATTCAGCTAGAACTGACCGTCCAACATCAATACCTGACCTCACTAATGCTCAATCAGATCATCACAGCAATGTTCAATATCTAGTATAAAGCCTTCCCAGAAAAGTAGAGGCTGTTACTGCAGCACAAACTCACTCTAACTACCCTTCATTTCAGAATTAAAAAGCAAAAAGGGTTCTTAACTGTTCAACATCATGTAATGATATTTACACAGAAAAAGCCCACCGTCTCTGTCAGAACAGACCCCTGTTTTTACAAACTGATAACTTTTCAGGAAGAAATATTTAATACTTAATGTAACGAAAATATTATCCAAGTAATTTTCATCATGAAAATTACGTACAATGTAAAGAGCAGCTTGCATTTACAAATCAAGTTAAAGTGGTGTTTTCTGTTCTACAACACATCCAGCATGTTGTGGAATCCACACGTAGGCGAATTCAGGCTATTCTTAAGGCCAAATGAGGACAACAAGCCAACTCTGTAAACTCCAGTTCATGAGCTTATAGTCTCCACAAACACCCTTCTAAATGTGCTATATGAGATTAATACTAATACACTATAAATAATGTCCAACATAAAACAGGGATACTCAAATATGTCTGTCATTAATATCTGTACAATACTAACACAGCACTGCTGCACTGTGAGAAGTAATGCACTCCCTGTACTCACAGATACTTTATTAACGTCAGCCATTTCTTTTTTATGGGGTTTATTTCACAAAGCGAGTTTTCTGAGATAGCCAGATAAATGCAGGGGGATTCAGGTGGTCTTTAAAAAAAATGTGCACAGTTCAGTGTTTGAGATGTGAACAGAGTGATTCAGAGTGGTTTGGTGTGAAATGGTTGATAGCAGAGACTCAGATTTCCTTACAGTGGTATATAAAATATAGTTGAAAATCACCAGTGAACCTGCACATATTCTCGACTTTTATATGGAATGTCGATGATGGCAAAATAGCGAAAAATCTGTCTGAGACATCAGGCAGTGTATTCATAACCAATTAATGTAATAACCTTCAGTGATTAAACTCTTCAGACGTCTGGTTCTTATGACCATCACTGTAATTATGCAGAATTTTTTTTAAAAATTGTGGAATTCCCCTTTAATCCAAACCTGTCTTGTCAGAGAAGAGGTAAGGCACATTCCTTTTGGACAATCCTCATTTTTTGGCTTAACTGCTAACAGAGAGATGCTGCTTTGTGAATTAATCCCCTGTTTGATTTGGATGCAATACTGATTACTGCTGCAGAGAATCTAGAACAGAGCACCCAGATCTGTGTCCCAGATCTAGAACACCTCCACAGTGAGTGTGTTACGCTGCTCATGTTTTGCGTTTTTGAATCTGGCTGTAGATCTGAGACGGGTCATCAATCGCTTTCACATCCAGAGGCCTGTGGAGCATGAAGAGAGAAAATAGAACTGCTGAGAATAAAAATAAATAAAAATAAATAGTAGGTTTAGTGTTACTGAGCCTAAACTATCTTCTCTCTATCTGCACTGGATCATTAATGACCATGGTCAACATTTCTGACATGTTTCACTGTTCTAAATTAAGTTTTATCAAACCTTTGAACAGCAGACGTTATACATTAGGGATGTGCATTCTGACTTATGTTGATTTCAAGTATCTACAAGGGTTAACAAAGGAATAATGAGTTAAGCATAGGAAGGAAAAACAACAAAAGCAATGTAATTAATACATTGTTGTGTTTTACCTTTTTAGGTGATCGCACTGATATTGCACGAAAAATGAACAGCACTCAGAAGAATGCATTTTTTAATTCTAATACAGCCGATGGAAAGTGACCAATTCAACCCTTGATGCTACTGAGGACTCGTCATCTTCTTGTTTATCAGAGAGATATTTTGCCTTTTTTTATATTTTCATATTTTTTAAATATTGTTTCTGGACCTAGTTAACATCAGCTAGAGTAGTTAGCCTGGATAGTGTAAAAGCCACACTAGAGCCAGCTGTGCTATCTCTGCCTTCTCAGCCACGTCCTTAACAGCGCATGCTTGGCAAAGCACTCATGCAGAAGCACTCAGGTTTTGTAGGACAAAATATAAAATAATATATAAAATTCTATTTGCAAAAATGAGCAAACTCACTATATTTTACAGTCCCAAACTTGGGTTTCATGGAATTGTTTGCCCGTATATTTTCTTCCTCTACAAGGAATGAAACGTAACAAATAACCGAATAGTGATTACCTATGTACATCCCTATTATACACATATTTATATATACATATATATAATATATATATATATATATATATATATACATATATATATATATAATCCATATGTGTATGTCATATAAAAGTTTGAACAGCCCTAGTTAAATTATGTTTTGTAGAGTTGAAAATAAGTGAACACATCCTGAACAGAGAACACACTACTGCACACATTAATGTACAATTACTGGTAATTTGCTGAATATGACATATTAGAAAAAAATTAAGCATAAAATGTAGCCCAAAAGTTACAACGCATTTTATACCATTTGGTGGTTTTTGGGCAACATGTTAATCTCTGCAAATAAATACAAATTGTGCGCTAAAAATGGCAGAAAAATGCTGTATGTAAGTGTGTTCTCTGTAGAGGAGGTGTTAACTTATTTACACTTAGAAAATCAACAAAACGTAATCTGACCACAGTGTTTAAACGTTTGTATATAAATGTACATATACATTTAACTGAAGCATTCAAGTGTTTTACAAAATCTTTTCTGCTTCTGTTAGATGAGTGTTTTGAGTCGGCAGGTTTTCAGTTCATTTTTAAGCAGCACATCAAAGTTATTATTTGTGGTAGTGGACCATATGCTACAAATTTTTACAACTCCAATTCCAAAAAAAGTTGGGACGCTGTGTAAAGTGTATATATACACTATATAATATATGCAAATAAAAACAGAATGCATGATTTGCAAATCTCATAGACGCATATTTTATTCACA